ACAAAGATATACAATGGCTATCTGTGCTTTGCCCACCACAGGTGTCGAAACCCGGTTTCTAGCATTGTAAGTGCGCTCAGACTGTATAACGTTTGAGAACCACTGCACTAGTGGCACAGCAGCATATCTGCGCACTTACAATGCTAGAAACCGGGTTTCGACACCTGTGGTGGGCAAAGCTCAGATAGCCATTGTATATCTTTGTGCTTAATTACAAACAATCATGATGAACAGGGTAAATTATTAGGTACAAATATTTTAAACATTTTATAAAAAGTAATTAAAATACAGAATAAAAAGATGAAATAAATTAAAAGACAACCAAATAAATAAATAGGAGAATGCAACAATATTATACAAGTATGCAGAACAGACTTAATTGTAGTGAAGCTGTGTTATTATTTAAAGTTGGGAGTTCATTTATAATAGATAAACATTTTTAAATTAAAAGTTCAATATTGGATGATCCAGATGAAATGCCTTTGAAATTCGTAATCAAGACGGGGTGAATAGTGTTTACACTACATGTGCGAATTGTGGAATCTGGTGGATTTGATCATTTTTTTACCAGTTCTGCTTGATATTCCCATATGTTCGCAGGTGTAATTGGTGTATAGTTTTGCCAATGTATGTGGCATTACAGCCACCACATGTGTATTTATATATGATCCTGGAACGCATAGGGGTAGGTAATAGGTCTTTAGATCAGAATAGATTTTGTATTTTGAAAGGTGATTTAAATATCATTTGTAGTTGAACTTGAGGATAAAACGTTTAAATTATTCTTAAAATTTGTAACTTCACTATGAAACTTTGTTTAAATAAAAAAAGGAACGATCAGTCTTAATGGGTATGTATGGTTTCTTTCTGGGTTCAAACTTGTGAGAAAGGAACTTACGTTTTAGGGCTTGAGTAAAATGCAAGAGATAACCGTTATTTATTAAAATGTTCTGTAAGGTGGCGATTTCGGTGTGAAGAGAGAGATAATTAGAACAGAAGTTATGTGTTATATTGAGAAGAATGAGTGTAAGATTACGTTTAATGGAATTCGGAATAAGACTGTCGAATCGAGTATGTAAACCTGTATATGTTTTTTACTAAAAACAGAAGTTGTGAAATGGTTATCTTGTCTACTGATCTGAATATCAAGAAAAGGCAATTTACCTTTTTTCAGTTCCACAAGTAAAATTAATGTTAGGGTGTTCCGAATTTAGATAATCCAAAAATTGCTTAATGTGATTAGAGCTTCGAAAGAGAAAAACCTTGTCGTGAATATACCTTCTATAGAGAGCCGGTTTGTATTCAACAGGACAGGTATCTAGCCAAGAACGCTCATAGTGACAAAAGGAGAGTCGGCTAGGTGACCCCATTGCAACGCCATCTATTTGATCATATAGCCAACCGTTGAAGACAAAGTGATTATCCTTGAGGACGAGGTTAAATAATTCTTCGAACTATTGGCGGTTAAAGCTTGTGTATATTTCATTTTTGCAGAGGAAAAGTTTCTTTAAAATTATTTGTATTGTTTCCTCGAGTGGAATGTTTGTGGATAAAAATTGAATGTCGAAACTATCCAATAAATATTGATTAGCATTATTAACTTTAGAAATTTCTCATGCAAAGGAAAAGGAATATCTAATTGTAATCTCGTTGGATGTGAGTAAATTTAAAATTTAGCCAGTTTATAAGTATGAAAACCAATGGTGGATAAAATAGGACGTAAGGGAATGTTATCTTTGTGAACTTTAGGTAACCCACACATGAGACCTTGGTGGGAGCCTGAGGGGTAAATGTCTTCAAGAACGTTTTCTTGAATGTAATTGCAATATTTATCCTTTCTTAAGGTTCATCATTAAGAATACATTGCATTATTAAATGTCCCCCCGGTTGTACGGACTTACAACAACAAAATCTGAGATTCGTTTCCTGGCGGTAGACGCAGTATATAGCCCAATGTGTCTATACTCTGAAATAAACAAACAAAAGCATAAAATTCTATGATTTTATATACTGTTTTCACGTCTTTTGCTTGCAAAATTATTTTAAACCTTTGCATTTATGTCTTTTATTTTCTTTTTTTTATTACTGTCTTACTTTACGCAGTTGATGCATAGACTGAACCTATTATGCATTGTAGGCACAATAAAAGTTAGGATTGTTATTTTAATGTTGAAACTTTTCTCACGAAAATTCAGCAAATTGTATTTTATTTGCAAGTGCTGCTTCCAAAGGGTAAGTTAATGTGAAATAAAAGTTGTATAAGCACAGTTTTATATGGAAAATGCAAAGGACAGTCAAACAAGCTAGGACAATTTTGAAGGTTGATTAAGACAGTTTTTATACTAATAGTTAAAGATAAGTAAGAGCTAAGGGCTACAGATCTGACAACCTTTCCACAAGATCTGTATTCTTAAGTAAATAAAGATATTATGTTTTACATTTTGCTATCAACTAGACAGTGTAAAAATTCAGAAAAACACTGGAACGTTTAGTGCATTAATGTCTTAAAAAATTGAAGAATATAATTATATCTATCTACTTGTTTTCTTTGTTGTTCTTATTTTGTGTTAAAGTACAAACTTTGTATGTATATATATATTGCTATTTACTTAGTGTTGTTTTGACTTCTGTTTTTGCTTTCTTTATTGTTTTCGTAAAATCATCATAGCCTATAAACAAATATAACTGTTGGGATTTTCTATTTGTAGTTCTTCAGACTAACCACGCTCCGTTAGCTAGAGAATACACCAAACGAGGCTGTCTACAAAGTCAACGAGCAAATTTTTGGTGCCAAATTCTAGGAATTAGTATACGCAATGAAGTGAGTTAAATTTATGAGAGGTCTTGACAACACATAAACAGCTTATATAGAGTTAACATTATATGTCTCCCGGTGAACCAGCGGTAATTCTTCAGATTTACAACGCTAAAATGAGGGGTTCGATTCCCCTCAGTGGACACAGTAGCCTGATTTGGCTTTGTTATAACAATTACACGCACAAAATATATACATTAAAATACAATGTTACAATAAAAGTGGATTATTAGGGTTAGACAATACACAAACAGCTACTACAGAGTGAACGTTACAAAATATGTAGTTGAAAATACGATGATTACAACAAGAATGCATACTTAGGGTAAGAAGATGTACGTACATCGACTACACTATTGACAATCGTTCTTGGCTACAGGAAGTAAAATATTATGAAAGTGAGATTCAGTAAGCAGAACTTCTAATAGCTGTGATTGTTATTTTCGACACATTTTCATTCATACTGTATAAACTAATCTAAAAACTTGTAAGTGAAGGCAAAGGAGTGTATGTTATAGTATGTCAACCACTCTAAATCATTTCATGAGTAACTAAGTGCATTCATTTCAGTGCTCAGCTTGTAAATCAAAAGACTATCTTTCATACGAACGCTTTGTTCATCATTGACCTAATCATGTTCTAATATACTTGACTTAGTGGGTAATCTGACGTTGGCGTGTTCTTTAACACGTAGTAATAGTTTCCTTTTATAGACTTGCTGATTGCAAGAACAAGTAAATTTATAAACTATTAACGATGTCTGTGAAGTTGGTATCTCTACCTCAGAGTAAGTGACAATTAGGTTTAAAACCAAACCTTAATTGTACCTGTAGGTATTCCGTACGATTAACCTATTTCTTCTGCTTTATTTATGTAATCATTTTTATCTAAGATTACAATACTAAAGACAACTATACCATTATTTATATTTAAGTTCTTTAGAGCTTTAAATTCTTCTACATTTAAATTAGAAAAATGTTTATATTCATTACGATAAATGTTAAACCTGTCAACGCTATACCACTGGTCTGAGTTCAGATATTACCGAAACATTGACGTGATAAAATTTCCAGAGACTGTTCAAATTGAGTAAAATAATATTCAAACTTAAGCTTATTAGAAATACTTGATTTTAAACCAGGAGCTAACACTTTTTACTCTAAATCATTCAAAATGTGCGTAGAAAAGTTCAATATTATATCATAAGGTTTATACACAAAGAAATTAGGACTTAACTATCACCTTGAATTATTTAACTTAACATATTTTTTTCTCCAATTTCTCTAATATGTATCAAAATATTATTATTCTGTGTTTCAAATGAATTCATTAAAACAAATGTGAAATCAAAATATTCAATTTCATTCTCCAATATTTTAAATACCTGTACAATTTGTCTTGTAAGGGATTTAGCCAACTGATATTTTTTGTTTAATTTCGAATTTGAGTTTTACGATAATGTTTTGAGTAACGAAAGTTGGGAATGTAAACTATAAAATTAAGGAAACAAAGAAATACTTTTAAACGTTTACACTCATTCAAAAATATGATGTGGTTAATTTTTCGAAGGTTTTAAATGTATTTTTTCTGCACTTTTGCAGAATGTTTGTTTGTAGTTAAGCGCAAAGCAACACAATGGGCTATATGTGCTCTACCCACCATGGATATCGAAACCCGGTTTCTGGCGTTGTAAGTCCGCAGACATACTGTTGTGCCACTGGGGGGGGGGGGGAGTTTTTAAGAGAGTTAACCCAGATTTACCGTACCTACATTTAATAACATAAGCAATAGATTTATTAATTGTAAATCTCAAAAGAGTTATAAACTTTAAAGTTAATTAAACTATGACACACATAGTATTGTGGTCAGGTGGAGTAAGTTATTCGGTAAAGTCCCCATACTGTAATTATAATTCCCACCCAAATGAGAAAGGAAAGTTCAATTTTAGCATAGAATTTCTAGCAGAAAGGCAGGGTCGCCAGATGGCCCAAAACCTGGTATGCTCTATAAAAAAACAAAAAGGCTAATCAGAAGTTGATATAAAAAATATTTTCATACTAAAAAATAACCCCATTATCACAAAGGAGGAAAATTAAATGCATACCAAAGCACACTGTACAATTATCATTCTAACATCATACAAACCTAAAGAACTAAACTTAATACATAACGTAAAGGAGACAAAAAATAAACGACAATGTTCATTTGTGAAGTACTAATAAATAAAGTCATAAAGATAAATTAAACCATCCATTTCCACAGGACTAAATAAAGGAATAAAAACAAACTAAAACCTCCATTTCCATAGAACTAAATAAAGTCATAAAGATCAATTATACCCTCCATTTCCACAGGACTAAATAAAGGAATAAAACAAACCAAAACCTCCATTTCCATAGAACTAAATAAAGTCATAAAGATCAATTATATCCTCCATTTCCACAGGACTAAATAAAGGAATAAAAACAAACTAAAACATCCATATCCATAGAACTAAATAAAGTCATAAAGATAAATTATACCCTCCATTTCCACAGGACTAAATAAAGGAATAAAACAAACCAAAACGTCAAATTTCTTACCTCCATTGGCCATGAGCTTTCAGACTAAACTAAGTCCATATTCAGATGAAAGAAAGTAACAGACACGTTTAAACTTTTAAATCTTACATTTTATAGCCTTAACGAAAATTTTCCCGAAGAACTAACTACTTTGATTTCAGGCCTTCGTGGGCTCAAGACATGCGCCATCTTTAGACAATTGTTTTTGTTTTCATGGAAAACAATGGTTGGAAAATTGCCCGCAACAGAATAAGCCTCTTTACTATTATAGATATGTTGTACTGTACTTTCACTATATGTAAGAATTCTGATCAATCTTACCAATTTTTTCAATATCTAAACAGTAGACACAAAAACATAAAATGTACTGTGGAACATTAGCAGGACCATGCAATTTACTGTAGAACATCAGTAGGACCATAAACTTTACTTTTTTGATATCTTGCTTAATAACAATAATGGAGGATTACTATGTGAAATTTATTATAAGAAAACATTCATAGGTTTATATTTCAATATTGAAAGTTTATTCCGATTATTTTTAAAGAAAATTTAGTTAAAATAATATTTCACCGTGCGTATAAAATATCTAGAACTAATATCAATGATATCTCATGCAAAAAATTGTTTTATTGTGATATGATTGACAAGATATTTCTTGCTTATCTAAATAAGCGAAGTTTTTGTATTTTAAATCCAATTGAATTGTCTAAATACCCTTTGGTCAAAAGTTGATCATTTATTGATATTTATTCTTTAGTTATTAAGAATCAGCTGAAATAGATTATCCGTAGGGTATACCCAAAGGTACAGTTATGGTGTGTATTTAAACCTAACTGTTGCCTAGACTCTTTCTTTAAATTTAAAGACCAGATACTAACTTTACACTCATCATTAATAGTTTATAAATGTAATTGTCCTTGAGGTCAGCAAGGCTATATTGGTTTTACAAAAAGGAAACTATTGACACGTATAAAAGAACACGCCAATAACAGATCACCCACTAAGTCAAGTATATTAGAACATGCCATAGAAGAATGTGACGTTGTCGTTCATTCTGATTTGTTTAATATCCTTGCAAGGGCCAATGATGAACGAAACCTCCGTCTTTTGATTCTCAACTGAGGCCTGAAATTAACGTAACTAGTTCTTCGAGAAAAGTACCGCAGAGGCCTTTCGTTTAGTACCAGGGCTCATCAGGCTGGTTCGGATACTATTTTTTATTGACACTAACCGTGAACATGTGCAAGGCTATACTACACTATATTTATAGTTGTCAAAGCACAGATTCCGTTCAATCAACTTAACTAAAGACACCATTCACACATATTTCATGTGTTTATCGTAGCCAATAAGCACCTCGGTAACTAAAAGCATTTTCAAAATATATTTTAAAGTCCGTCGAGGTTAGATTTATCCATTATCTAATTTTTCATTGTTCAGTATTAAAAGTGATTCTTTTTCATTTTTATTTATATGAAAATTACAAATCATATTACATATATAAACAATTGAGATTAATATATATTATTTTCTAATCAATCTATATCTATGCATTTTCTCTTTTGAATATTCTGATATCAGTTTAATGAAATTAGTTGGATATTTACGAATATGTAACTGTTATTTGCTCTTCCTCTCAAGTATAAATTTCTAGTGTTCTAAGTCATCGTTTGTGAAGATTGAAATATTGTATATTTGGAGGAATAATGATTGGCGCCAAATACAATAGGCAAACAAACTGTACGCATCCGATAAAATTGCTTTGTATTATAGTTTCAATCTTTTATGACAACTCATTTGATATTTTATCACTTTCAGGATAGGCTGAAATTTGATCATTTAAAATCGTGTGTTTTTCGGCATGATTTAATGATTGATAAGCTGATATTCAAAGTAAGTTCATCTTGTTATTCGTTATTTAATAATGATTCACTTGAACATTATATAAAGATTGTGACGGATTTGTTATTATATATTTATTTTAATATCGACGTTTGTTTAGATTAAATTTATATTAAGAAACATACATAGCTTATACTGTTGAATATGTATCGCGAAACTCCAGCCTATTCTCCAAAGTTGTAGAAGATTCTCGAGAGTAAGAATCAACAATATATATGTGTACGTAAACGATTGTATTGGCGTCGGTATTGTTACATAAAATTGAAATTTCGAGAAACTCTCCACACACCTATAAATATAACCAACGCGACGCGCCAAAAGTAGTACCTATTATTATTTTGTTATAGTCAGTGTGCTATAAACTTCGGAAGCTATAACTGTGATTGTTATAACGCTTATAAATCGGAAAACTTCAGATATTTGACCAGGAGCACTTACAAAGTTCAAACATTGCAAATAATTTAACGTTAGTGAATTCTCATCGGACATTAGTATTTTTACGAAAACATTATATAACTTCATCGTGGAAAACTCGGCTTGTGTGGCTGGTGAATAACGAAGGACAAAGCTAGCTATCTCCCTGTTAAGTGAATTATACCTAGATCAACTCGTAATAAACTCGCTCATCGTGAACTCTCGATAAGATATAGAAGAAGTTCCAGACTAAAAAGAAGACTTTATATTGCTTGTAAGTTTGTGAAACTTTTGTATATAAATCATTGTGTGTAATAACTATTTGTAATAAATGTTATTGTAAATTGTATTGTTGTTTGTATATTAAAACATATTTGTGTTAAAAACGAAAAACTGTGAGTATCAATCTTGTCGGCAAATACCATAAACTGACTAAATATCAGCTTTTACTTAACTACTAAATCCAATTTAAAGTATCATTTAACTCAGTTTCAGATTTTTCGATACTGTAATACGTAACTTAATAACTTGGGAGCTCGTGTTTGAGATTTGAATCAGAGACAAAATTCAATCTAAATTAAAATTTAAATCACAAATGAATTTATATTTATCAGTGCCAACAAGATTTGATCATGTCTAATTATCAATATTTTCTTGAATCACCCTCTATCGAACAACTAGAAAAATATAACAAAAATTAATTGCTCGAAATTGCCAAAGTTTTAGAACTAGAAGATAAAAGATCAATGAGAAAAAATGAACTAAAAAAGCGTATTATCGAAATACTAGTCGATGATGATTTGTTGCCCGAGGAAGCATTAGAGGAATACTCTAATGTCCCTGCTAGCCAATCGGGGTTGAGTGATAAAGATAAGTTAGAGATACAGCTAAAAATCAAACAACTCGAGCTTAAACAAGCTCGTATTGAAGCCGAGAAGGGTAAAGAGCAAGCTCGTATCAAAGCTGAAAGAGATATAAAAGTATAGCAGGCCAAAGTTCAATAATTGTACTTGGTTTCTACTAACTACTATTATAAAGCTTCAAGAACTTGCCGTAAAAAAAAAAAAACAAAAAAAAACAGATCATTACTCCGGCAACCTTTATCATTGTGACTATATAAAGAAACTATATATTATAATTATATGATTATATAATTTCGTCGAAGCTGGAAAGACTCAAGCAATTTGGGCTAATACACAAATGTTATGTGAAACCACTAAGTAAGAAAATGTTATTCGGATAAGAGATTTTTATTTTTGAACAGAAGTGTGGTAAAATAATAAGTTAAATAATTATACTAACTTCTCATAGCTAGAAAACACAGTTATGTCCCTTGATCAACATCGCAGATCACTTTGGTCTGCTGCTGCTTCTTATCCCTAAATATGTCAAATATTTCAATGTTTTTCATTTTTACTAAAATAATTATCTTGATGCTTTTCGTCGTTAATTAGTGAGCTAGAAAAATAAATAGATAGTCATAAGGTTTCTTTTAAGTATATATTTATTTTAAAAGTGGTAAGCTTGGTCCTTCTACGACTTTATTTTCAATATTTAATAATATATATAACAAAAGGAACAAAACATATTTGTACGTACGTTGAAACAATCTGAATAATATATTTTTGTCTTAAAAATTTAATTATGTTGGTTAGAAATATTTCTTCATAATTTTTGCATTATTCATCTTCTAATTACAGTTTCATTAATTAATTGTACGTGTATAACATTGTGATAATAAACTACAAATCTAAGATTTTTGAACAAAGGTTGCATGACAGGTAAAAAATTGACATCTGTTATTCACCATGACTCGGTAATCCAAACAATAATTCCAAAGATAACACATAATAAATTAAACTACCGTCAATTGTCATCTAATGAGGAGTGAAATTGGAGAATATTTCTTTAGTTACTTGTAAATGTTTTTTGCTCTCTCAAAAACGTGTTGTAATTATGAGTCGTATTTAATAGTTTCTCGTTGCGAAATGGTAAGCAACGAACTATTTTTGTCTTTTATTACTTTTCCACATTCAGTTTATTTCATTCATTTTGATACGTTCGTTTGTGCTTAGTGATTCAAAAACTAATTACCTTCATTAAATGAAAATTTAATCATTCTAAAGACTTCCTATCAGTTATCATCAGTTTCTACCGTTGTTTCAGACACAAATTAAAATTAAAAATGCCATTATATTATTCCTTCTGCGAAAATGTTCATTCATTTTGTCGGAAATATTCAATTCAAGTAGTTAGTATAATGCTTCGTATTTAAAAACATGTTACTGAATTTAATATTTTTTTCCATTGTTTTAAATCTATTCGGATATTAAGTGATGTTTATATGATTTTTGTGTTGTGGAAGTACATCATGCGTTTTTGTTTGTTTTTTTCAGATGTTTTAAATGTCTTTATTTCAGGATATTCGTCTGACAGCAGCCAACGATGATCAGTATTTTGTGTTCGAAGATTTACTATATCAGGTATTTAATATTTTTGAACACATTAACATATAAAGATGATGCAGACTTATTAATAATAACTTATTGCAAATTTTTTTTAGTTTATCTTTTCTTTCATGTGCATCGTTGCGCATTTAACATCCATGTGTTATTACCTATTAGTATTCAGTTCTGTTGCTTTTTGTTACAATAACACTCTTAAAACTAGACTAATATTTTTTTATTTTATTACCATTAAAGATGTTCCCAATTAAAACGTATTTTTAAGATTTTATTAGTATTCTCAAGAGACGTCTCTGTCGTCGAGCATTTTCGCTTCAGTAGTGCCACTCCACCAAAAGGCTTCCTTAGGGGTCGTTCTGGTCAGGAGGAAGGATTGGTTGTGTATCCTCCTAGTGGTATCATTCCGTACCACGGTTTTACTATGTATGGTAGGTTCTTTTTTCATGTTAGAGTTATGGAAAACTGTGTTGAGTTGTATACGATGTTCGTTTAATCACATATTTCGTCTTTACAAATAGGTACAACTCACCGCCAAAATGTTCTTTACTTACTTATATCATGTATTTTCATGAACTTTCTTAAAGTAGAGAATTAAAAAAAAAATGTAGTTGACAAGAAAGAAGGCGTCATAGTAATGAGGAACATTACTTAGAACTGAGCTGCTACTGTTGTTTCAATAAACGTGTCCCCACTTGTTAAATTTTAAACCTTATATTGATTTTTGGATCAAAACTGTTCATTAAGTACTTTGTAACAAAGCATTGGTACAACCTGATATTTGTTATTTTAAAGTAAGTAACATTATTTGAATATCCTACTCGAGATATATAAAAAAGGTTTACTACTAAAACTGCATTCTTAATATGTTTAGATTATAAAACACGAAAAAAGTTGTTTTCACTTAGATGGAAAATAGAGTCCCTTTTATCCTTAATCTTCGGTGGTCTGGTGGTTAGGGCACTCGACTCGCAATCTGCAGGTCGCAGGATTATTCCCCATCACCAAACATGCTCGCCATTTCAGACGTGAGGACATTATAATGTTACGAACAATCCCACTATTTGGTGGTAAAATAGTAACCCAAGAATTGTGAAATAAGATTACCGATCCAAATATTTTTGTAATAAAATTAAAACATTTATGACAAAAATACAATACTTAAAAATAACTAATTTGATGAAACTTTGTAGAATGGACGGCAACTTCCTGTTGTAGAGCCACGAGTTTAGAGGACGGCGTTTCGAAAGTCTTCCACCTTTCGTCTTCAAAAAGACTTTCGAAACGCCGTCCTCTACACTTGTGTCTGTACAACAGGAAGTTGGAGTCAATTCTACAAATTTGCATCATGAATACTCTGCCTAAACAATCTATCAAAGAAGAACTTATTTATAAATGAATTTAATTTACACAAATAGAACCTGAGGCGTTTTTTTATCTTCCACAATTAATTTTATAATTGACATAAACTGTTTTACATGGACTTGTTTCTTTAAACACTCTAAACAGTTTCATCTTATAGAAGTCTGAAAATACAGGATGTTGTGATTGTGTTTTTTTATGTTCATGCAAAAACGGATACAAAGAGTGGACACTAATTTAAAGCTCATGACCTCTATACCTTTTTTTTTATCATCAGCTACGTGATTACCCGTGAGATCAATCTATGTTTACTAAAGTCACGCAATTTTGGAAAGAAATTTCGGAATTCCGTGATTGTTTTGAAATTCTCGGAATTTTGCAACACATTAAAAATTCTTCTTGAAAAACATTTGTGTGTAATAATGAAATATTTAAGCTTGCACGTAAAACAGGTTAATCAAATTTTAAGTCTTTAAAAACTTAGTAACTATCCAAAATTATCTTCCAATACAACTTCATTACAAATAAATTCATGATTAAATTTCCTATAATGTCAACAAACATTTTATCCAGATACTACGTTTCATGGACTTTGAATGAACCTACATGATACCATAATGTCGACTAACATATCTAATTGCATTATTTAAATGAGGTATCGTGAACTTTATATCTACAAACAATGCTCAATTGTTCGGTTTGGTTAGTAACAACAATACTTTACATGTGTTTCTCATTCTTTTATAACATCATTTCATTAAATTTGTTAAGTGTTTGGTTAGTAGCATTGCCACTCAGTTTATATTTCATTGTGGTTAGTCGGTTATACTACTACGACACAAAAGTTTTAATCATGACTTTACAAACCTGTTATCATGTGTAATTACTGACATTATTATGCTGTAGAAGTTTTAGTATTTGTTTGTCAGTAACGCTGTCTCTCTACATGAGTTTTACCATTATTTGGTTAGTAACGCCGTTGTGCTACTTGTATGAAGATCCTGTGACGCTTTACGGTGTTTTCAATGAACTCTTTTGCCATTACCTCTGTCGTCTTCACACTGTTTCATCACATCCTCAGGTAATCCAGTTTAATGATGTAGTTTGTTCTGTTTTGCCTGTGACCTTTAAACCGTTTCATTACAAATACCCAAGTATCAGAAAAACTAAACGTTTTATAGACAGCACTCAAAATATATTGACAGTCTATAAAGATTGTTGACTGCCATCAGTTTAGCTGACTCTACTATCTCGAGGTGGTTCTGTATAAAAACAATGCTAATGCTTGTTGAGAGTTAACGTATTTTAATACAGGTTATTTTTAAAGAAATCCTGATATTCCTTCATCTCATTTTAATTGTGGCATTATTTTTGTTCTAAATATTTTAAATTTGCATTTACAAACAAGACGCTAACTACGACACCAAGTATTTCCTACCGATTTAATATAAGTTTATTGTGTACGATATATAAATATAGATAGATACTAACATATGTAGATTCTTGAATAAATGAATGCTTAACTTGGGTTACTAAACAAGCAGAAGTAACTTTATCAGCTAATGGTTGATGTATACAAACTTAGAATAAATAAGATTCAAAATCATGATTATTCTGATTATGTATACAAATTCAAAAGTTTCTAAAATATTTAAATGATAATTCGTCTTGAAGTTACTTGTATTTCATACAAAAATTAAGTAATATATATTATTATAAAATATTAGTTTAGTAGTATTAAACCTTACGATATTACAGTGTCGTAATATTAAGTTTTATGGTCGTTATTGAAAACATTAAAAATAACAACTGAACAAAAAGTAAGATATTACCACCGCTAAGATTTATGCTAAATAATGCTGTAGGTTAATTTAAAAATTTCTCTGCAACGTTTCATTCATTTCTAGCCTTACAAATAATATTTCTATGGAAACTTTAATATATTCCTACTTGTGATCTTTAACTACTGATTTTCTAGGGAATTCTGTGTCTATGTCTTCAGTTTGAGATGTTACTTCACGAGGCTGATCCACAGCTTATGTATCACTGCGCTCATCACGATTTACAACCGTATGTACATATAAACTTTCCACTTAAGTTTTCATAGAAGTATCTTTAATCGCAAATTTACAAGTTAGCAATGTCTTCATTATTGTAAATCAAGACAAAATAGGTATCTCTAACTAATTATATGTTCGTATTATTAAGGTAGACAGATTTATCATCTGAATGTAAGTGATTTTGTTCACCTTTGTGACCTAATATTCAAGGCAACTTTCTTTACGCTTCCCAGTGGCACAGCGGTAAGTCTAAAGGCTTATAACGCTAAAAACTGAGTTTCGATGCCGTGGTGGACACAGCACAGATAGCCCATTGTGTAGCTTTCTGCTAAAGTACAAACAACATTTTTCTTTCCATCTTTAGTATAATTAGAATTTCGATAAAATTGTCAAATATTCACTTAGAGATGTTATGAATTTAAGTTGAAAATGTTAAACTTTTGATTTCCTAACTTCATCTTCTAAATTGAATCTCATTTTTTAGACTTACATATGTTTATATGAAAAAAAAAGAATAAAATAAACACTGGCAACAAAGGAAAGACTCAACTTTACACAAACCACCAAGTTGGTCTTTACTACAGTGCTAGCTAGCCTCTTAAGTTATGTTACTAAACGTTGGTGATTGCTGGAGCAAATTATTGGACTATTATGACTATGCTATACTGTGAGGCGAGGGTGGCCCAGTGGTTAGCGTGCTGGACTATGTAGGGCCGTATAATTTGTTTGGTTGGTTTTGCACAAAGCTACTCAAGAGCTATCTGTGCTAACCATCTATACTTTGGAAGCGAAAGACTAGAGGGAAAGTGGCTAGTCAACACCACCCATCATCAATTCTTGGGCTACTCTTTACCGACGAATAGTAGGATTGGCTGTTACGCTATAATGTCCCCACAGCTAAAAGTTGAATATATTTGGCGAAAGATTTCGATCCCACGACCCATAAACTACGGATCAAACGCTTTATGCACTAGGCCTGGCCGTAGGAACCGATATAGCAGATATGGCCATGGTTGTGCCACATCATCCTCCTTTAAAAAATTTATATATATATATATATTACATAAAACAAATGGAGCTGTGATCGACCACTAGTCCTATGGCAAAACTAAACTAAGGAGCTATGCATGGGACCCAAATAAATATGTATTTTTTAATAGAAATACACTGGAAGTAAAAATTTTTGTTTCCTTGATTTTTACACAAATGGTTTTGACGTAACTTTTAATTTTTGATTTTAAATCTAATTGAGTGGGGAAAAAATAAAAAATAGATGCAGCTCTAGATACAATGGATCTACCACCAGATAGCTAAAACATCTGTAAAAGAATATAAGATTATGCATATCTGTTAAGTGATAATAAATAGAATTTAAAACGTCACATTGTGACATAATACACTCATATAGTTTAAAATTATATTAAAATGTAATGATGAGAGAAGTCTGCCTATCAAAGAAACGTTGCTAATTCGTATATTAAGGCCCGAACTAAATTAAACTTGTTTATTAGTTGATTTATTGTTAAAAATCTAATCGTTTGTATTTTATTCAGAATTTAAAAAAGAATTCCACTATTTGATTATACAAGAGTAGCTCATTATCGGCGGTTGGTGCTGTTGACTAGCTCCCTTTTCTATAGTCTATCGGTTCAAAATTTGGAACGGCCAGCACAGATAACTTTCCGTAAACATCCGAAAATAAACAAAGTACAGCGCTATTAAGTTAGACAAACATTCCAGAGCAATATCCAACAATCCCAGATTATCTGTGTCATTGTGTATATTCAAGGACAGATTAACTCACAACTGATACTAACGTGTACAAATCTCTATACCACCCTCTCCACTTGGCTATGACCCCACCAGAGAGCGATAATACAGAGTGGTCGATTTATAAATAACCAAGGTGTTCAAAAAAGTCTGTTGTTTAGTCTGAAGATTATTCAATTTACTAACCTTTTTGCTTAGATGATTAATGATCCTGTAGATGGATTAGACTAGAGATTACATTGCTGATGAATCTTTTTGCTAATTTACTGAATAATTTTTTTGGGATTTAGGCTGAAGATTGCGCAGAAGTGGATAATGCGGATGTTTGCTGGTTATTTATCAGTTGACCAAGTACTTTTACTGTGGGATCGAATTCTAGCATATGATTCTTTACAACTTCTTCCAGGTAAGCCAACTTCCGTCTTTTGTTATTATCTAATGATAGTAACAATACCCAACTGATGAAACAATGCAATAAAATAAAATACAAACGAAAGTAAACTATATTTGATTAGTTATAGTGCAGGTTTACTTTCATTTTCGCTCTAAGTACGTAGCTCTCATCGGAAGTTATTATTATAAATTAATACTTTGTTTCCCAACTTAGAAGTATAATTTTAAAGTCACTTTCGTTTATTTTCCAGCTCAAATTCGGAGAGAGCACTTTTCATTTTGTTACTTTAATAATAACCTGTCAACAAGTTTCTTCTAAAAGTTCTCATTCGTTAAAGAATAGTATTTCTCTGCAAGATAAAATTAGTGCCACGTAATCACGTGCTGTTGCCTACTACGTTCCAGTACTGAGTTTGTTTAATTAATTTTGTTTACAATAACTTTTCGAAGTTCTCTTGTTATATACTTAATAACTCAGCACATAATTATCCTTATTAAAAAGTGAACATGATACCGTAATTAAGTTGTGACACTTAAAATAATACATTGTAGAGTATGTGATCAGATTTATTTATAGGAATTAAATAGTTTTAATTGCGTGTTTTTTAACGAAGTCATCCCTAATAATCAGAAAAGCTATTAAAATCGGTGGTGTGTTTTTGATTTGCTTTTTTCTTTTACTTATTTTACGTCGTGAGTGCATCTCTCCTACAGTGGGTGATTAAGATTTTCGTCATACTTTTTATTATTTAGTACCTCATTATTCCGGAATGGTTGAATATTTACAGCATGTAAACAAACCAGTTTATCATTACTAGACTGCAATATTGTAAATTTCTCTTTGCTATAATTTTTGTTTACTATTTAAGCTCTTTAAGTTGTAACGAATGTAGCTTATCTACACTATTTTAGTGAGCGTGTCTGGTCTGTGAAAAGAATGAAGTCGCAAATAAAGTTCCCTTTTTTTAACAAAAAGTACCTTTTTATCAGTGAACATCTAAGTAATCTTCTAATAACTTTGGATGAGGGATTTTTTTTTATAGTAGCTTTTCCGTCTTTCACTCTAGTTGATCAAGGTAATTACTCCGATTGAGGCTCTCATATTAATTCATTAACTGTGATTTGAATGATGTTCAAATGTGGGCGCCCACAGAAATATTTTAAGGGGGGCAAAACATGTATGTAGGGGGGATCAGCTTTTACAGTGTAGGTCAATAGACGAAGAGAATATGTGTTATGTGTGCTTAAACACAAACAAATTTACAGTTTTAATATAAATTACTACAAATATTTCGTTTAACTTCAATGTTAACTTTACATCACAATACGTGCAATTTTTTTTGTGAAATGTAAGGAGATAAATGCCCCCTCTTGCCCCTTTCTGCGGGCGCCGATGTGTTCAAACTTTTTTCTTCGACTTTGCTTCCTCATGGCTGCTTGGTTAATAGATACCTGTGTCTATCTGACAGTAGTAATAGTTTAATATTGGGCAACTGAGGCAACATTAAGTCCTTGCTTGGAAGAATCCGTATTTAAACCTTATTTAGTTATCTTGTGTTTTATTTCCCCTACTTGTTGTGTTTAGTCATTTTTAAGATCTTGTTGTACAGTTATGTGCTTTACTGATTATCACCTTCAAAACACTTAAATTTGGCGTTGTGTTTCAGTTCTTGCAGTCGCCGTTATGTCCTTCCGAAAAAGTATTTTGTTGACGGCAGAAAATCAAGTCACATTGGAGGTAGGTTGCACTTTCAATAAATATGGTGTTCAGGTTCTTGCAATTTTCTGAGAGTTATTATGCGTTTTCACTCCAGTAATGGACTAGAATATTCGTAATAGGTTTTATGTATAGTTTGAAGGTTGTTGTTACTTTAAACTTGGAAAGTGTTGAAAACTTCGGAGGCTAAGTAAACTGAATGTTTATAAATAGGGTTTAGGTTCCAGAGGGTAAAAATCTAGGGTTTGCATTGTTGTTATTTTTTTAGTGTAGAGCTATACAATTAGCTATGTACACTCTGTCCATCGCGGGGAATCGAACCACGTATTTGGCGTTGTAAGTCCGTAAACTTACCGCTGATATACTGGGGAACGGGCGTTGTTTTAATCTAAGTAAAAATTGATTAGGATAAAAACGTTTTGGCTTAAGATTGTTTGTAATTTACTGGTTAAAAATAATTGAAGATTGAGGACAGGCTACTCGGGCGTGAAGCTGTATTTTTTCTTTTTTTCACAAAGAATGTGTAAGATCTCGAATGTCGTTAGATATTAAACTGCTTTGTATTCTATAAATAGATAAACAAACAGCTCATTACCTTGATAAGTAGTGAATTGAAATATTGTGTAATTGTTTTAATTTTTTATCATGTTTTAAGATAGAAATATGGAAAATATAAATCTATTTTGTTTTTTGTTTAGGCTATGTTGGCGGATGTGTCTACCATCAAAGTCGTCCCGTTATTACAATGGTTATTAACTCGATCAGCGTAGGACTACGTCATTTCAAACATCCTGATTGATCTAGAACTTGTGCCTAATAAACCTTTTTTCCATCACTGCATCTTGTGGTTTCAACCGCCTGGGTACGTTTTGCACTCATATACATCACAATCTTACTCCAGTGAAACAGTTTATTCAATAAGTTAACATGTAGTGTAATTAACTGTTTCCTAGTTCAGCTCCAGCCTAACCCAAATAAACGTAGTGTAGCATGATATCTATTACTACACATTCAGTAAAATCATCTCAATGATATGAAGACATTTATCAAAATGTTGAAAGAAAGAATAAGGTAGGTTTCATATGAGTACCTACATAAAAAAACAAATTTGTATTATTATATATCTTTGTCTCAGGTAGTCTCCTTTAATTATATCTGTTTCTGTAAAGAAGTTAACATTGGCAAAGCTCTCTCTCTTCTTTTCTCTCTCTGAGAATCTTAAGTATAACAAGGCTGCATAGCATCTTCATTGAAATAAGGAGTTAGTCACGAAACCTAACACTTGTTTCCAGATTGATTTATGTAACCACTTATTAAAAAGTTCTTGGTGGACTGGATTATTTGTTACATAGGCCCGGAGTTTTAATTCATTTTCATTTCCTATGCCTGCTTTTTTACATCACGTGTCAGCATGACATAATATTTTGCTTGCAATCTTTATGATTCTTTAAGCACAAAAGTTTACCGAATAAATTACTTTTCAATACATTTCTGAAAAATGTAAACATTTTCTAATCCATAACACATTAATATTGTACATCTTATGAATAAATAATATTCATGTCCCTAGGAGGTGAAATCTGCTACTCCTGTATAGAGTAGACGTATTAGCATGTATAATATTTTTATTTGTTCTCAGTAATGATATGCCGTCTTTTCTTTTTTCTAACAGAATTTATTTGAGGAATGAAATCTTATAACTGGGCTGTTGTAGTTTTATTTAGATTTTATTGAATCAAACTGTCTGTCCAACTATTAACATTCAGTTTTACTGCCATATTCATAGAATTTTAAGGATAAAACATATAGCTTGGTGTAAACAGCAGTTCGTTCTTTTACCATTTATATAATGTTTATTGCACTTGGCCAATATTCTATTTCCTCAAAGTAAGATCTACTGCTTTGCATACTATAAGATAGTAGTATCTTTCCTAAAAACTTAAGTAATCTGACGTATCCCAGAGTTCCTTCCTGTTCATGATCAGAGGTAAAAAAGCATGGGGTACAAGCGCACTGGCGTAAGAAAGTAGTGCACCAGCTGATGGTCAAAAGATGCATAACATGAAGCTAGAACGCCATCTACAAGCAAAGTGCCATGTTCTGTAAGAGGAACGTAGGCCCCTATAAAAAAAAAATCAAACACAAATAAGAATGAAATACGAAGTTAAAGTTTACATACCATTTAAAGAACCGGCGTTTCTGTTGACATAATTTATGTTACTTAAAATAAATTGAACTGACTTCCATACATTTTTTTAAGATTTCGATCTCAAATTTCAATTGATGCAAGTGCACAAGACGTTATTAACACGCAAAAAAAACCTCACATGCTGAAGCTGAAAAAAATAACTTTAATAACAATTATCTTAGTAACGCCGTACCCTTTCACTTTTTATCGGGTGGGATTTTTATCACTATATCGTTTTGTGTAGAAAGGAAAGGTGAGCCAAACCTGCTATACAATATTAAGTAACCTTAAAAACAAATTTACAAACCCTTGAGTATCCTTCGAGTGATCGTCCTTACAACCGCTGGTACAGTTTCCTTGGTGCCATTGTTGTGACGTAACGCTAGAAGAATGTCGCCAATGTTAACTTCAGAAGCATACCTATAAATGTTATATAAAATACATTAATTACTGCTTAACAATAGCTATAGTTTATGATAACAACGTTAATAATATTTATTGGATTTTAAGTCCTTTTTAATTCGTCATATAGTAACCTAAATTAATTTAAGTGTTTGAATAATATTATGCTATTGCGTCTAATTTATTATTCGTGATTATACAGTGGACCAACTGTTTAATGATTATATTACACATTTTGTGTCACCAAGATAGAATTGAAAATATAATCTGTGACTTAGAAGCCTTATGCATTTCTTGATTTGCCGCATCTTCTGCTGTATGCTATAGTTTTGCCTATTTAAGACGCCCTCAGTGGCACAGCAGTATGTCAGTGGACTTACAAAGCTAGAAACCGGGTTTCGATACCCGTAGTGGATAGAGCAAAGATGGACTATTGTGTAGCTTTGTGCTTCAACTACGAACTACCTATTTAAGACTTATCAGCTTGGGTCAGCGTACAAAAGAAATAGAGTATATAATATCCATGGAATTTTTTAAGCCATTTTTAACTCACCATATAGTAACCTAAGTTAATTTAAGCACGTGAATAATATTATGGTATTGCGCCTAATTTATTATTCAGTGTTATACAGTGGACCAACTGTTTAAAGATTATATTAGATTTCATTTCACCCAAAACTGATGAGCCTTGAATAGGGGAAACGGCAGTCCACAGCAGGCAATGTGGCGTATCAAGGAATGCAACAGATTCAGTTATCAATATTACCTATGTTGAAATGAAAAGAAATATGTAACATAATAATTAAACAGTTGGTTCACTTTATAATGGCAAATAGTAAATTAGATGCAATGCTATAATATTATTCACACACCTAAATTAATTTAGGTTATTATATGTTGAATTACAAAGGACTAAAATCCCATAAGTATTATGTACACATCACAATTATAACCAGCCTGACTGTATTTTTTGTTGTTGCCCGCTGACCCAGCGAATAGGCGAAACTGCATTCCATAGCAGAGGATGCTGCGAACCAAAGAATACATTAGGCCTGTACGTCACAGATTAAATTTACAATTTTACATTTCATAAAATCAAAATAAATTTGTAATGTAATCATTAGAGAAGGTGTAATTATTATACGATAACTACTTACTCGTCATTACGTTTAAACATAACAATATACATTTAGAAATAAAAATAGATGTTATACATACAGTAAGAAATGTGCCTCGATACGTATTAAATATGTTATATATAACTTATTGAATATCTTATAAAAATGCATCAAAAAACTTAACTTAGATGTAGTTTGACTAGACTATAGCACGTGACTGAAAGCTTTTCTTGGTTTGTAGTTAAGCACAAAACTGCACAATGGGCTATCTATACTGTGCTCACCACTGGTATCGAAACCCGGTTTCTAGAGTTATATGTCTACAGACTTGCTGCTGTGTCTCTAGGGGACTGACTGAAAACAAAGTAACTTAGGAATACAAATCTACGTATGAATTCACCAGAAGAAAGCTTTTTTGTTTCTATATTAACGGTTTATAAGTTTTTATTTCTTTACACAAGAAATTTTTATTTTTGAAATAATATTTTTTTGGTGACGACTGGGATTACAGTTTCTAAATTAGATTCGTTTTTAATACAAGAAAGCAGTCCTATCAGATAATATGCTTTGCGCTATGTTTAAGCTTATAGCCTTCCTATAACACAATATGTATATTACGTTTCCCTTGGTTTCTTTGTTTTTGTTTTTATAATTTGTATTCAGCTTCGGAAATAGTCTAGAAAAAGAAAAGATACAGACTGCATTGTTATTTTAATATAAGTTTAGAACTCCACTTAGTACTAAGAACTTGATGAAATGAGTGGATAAACCATTTTATTTTGCCACTAAAATCTTTTTTAGAAAATACCTACTGTTGTTTCGCTTTAATATTTTATCTTTAGTTAGCAAGAAATGTATTTTTATCATTCACTAGGGATAAAAAATGCTTCTAAGTGCGATTTTTTTCCCATTCTTCTACGTAGACAAAAATGTGTGTACATACTAAAAACTCTACACATGCACAATATATAAATATGAACTAATAAAATTTCCTTATTTTAGAACACAAAACATATTTAAAGTAATAATAAATTTGTAACATTTATACACTTACGAAGTTGTCTGAAATTGTTAATGCTTTTGTTATCAGCGAAGAAGATATCTCCTTTGGCCACTATAATATCTGACGATTAACAAGTAAAATTCACAAATAGGACCAAGTAAAAAAAATACACGTTTAACGTCTTCGCCCGCTTCCTTTTTTGCAGCCTCATCCTCTTTTTTTGACAATATGTTTTTCTTTTTTTTTAATTGTGACTTTTCTATCATACAAAGAAACAAAGAAGACTTCTGAATAAAAAATGAGGTGATCACAGTTGATTCAATTTGCCCATTTTCTTTATTTGTCATAAATTCTGTATCGTTTTGATGAAAAAATGAAACAAAGAAGACTTCTGTTTGACATAGACCCTTTGAAAACAAGCAACAGTCATGAAAAAATGGGTGCAAACATTCTTTCAAAGAGGTCATTTAAAAATATAAAAAAGAACCTCCTTTCTTTTTCTAAAACTCAGAGCATTAAGCATATTTTTTTTATTTTCTTTTTACTTAGCTTAATACGGTTGTAAAAACTTGTAAGCCATTAAAGTTTGGACAAAATCTTACCAAAACGATTTACGTTTGGAATACGGTTTACTTAACTACCCATTCAAGCCGTCTCCAACCCTTATTTTCTAAAAGTTGGGTTCCTTGTCATCAAATTATAAACCATTAACTTGTCAAGAGCTAGTACTACAAATAAATCTATACAAATGTAAGTATAAAAGGTAATTCCTGTAAAAATTATTTTTATACAACAGCTCTGAACATTCAAAACCAAAAGAAATACCTGGTAGCTCCGGTTTTAGACGTTTTATTGTGAATAACAAAAACCAGATGACTACTGGATAATCTAATAGATGCGTCAGCAGATGTCGCTAGTTCCAGATATTCGGCATTTCCTCGTGGACGGCGATCAAGAAACGCTACTACTTTGCTGAATGTCACTGTACCATCATCTGTCACTGAGAAAATTGAAAAAGGGGAGTTGAACAATAATAATTGAAATAATTTTTTAGAAAGGGAACTAATAATTCATGAAGCTTTTATTTTATGAGTTAAATTGTTAGTTTAATTTCAGTTTTGTTTTTCTCAGTTTCAGAGTATTTACTAAACTCAATCACAGTTTACATATATACTTGCTATGATCGCTTTGACACCATTTTGTTACGATCGCGGTATACTTGCACTTCGCTTTTCGTTCTTATGTTTATCCATATTATTTAGGTTGTACTTATTACTCTCAGGAATTGACTGATATCAATGTAAACATAACAAATTGCTGTTTATTACTATAATCAAGAACATGTAGAATTTAAAACTAGGTTTTGTTTCTTACTGGCAGTATTTTATTTTCTTCCTTCGCCTCTTTTAGTGTATTCGTTCTCTCACATGTTCCGGTCTTCTTTTTTTTCGTTTGAACCCCTGTCTTTTATAATCATTCTCAAACCCACTCCGAACAGGTCCTTTTCTTTTTGACTGTGCACAATTCTTTTCAGTAAATCGTATTACAATGTTTCATAACCATAGGGATCCCATAATCTCCTCATCGGCTGAACAAGAAAGGCGGCCGCTTACTTTAATCACTTTCGATTGACTTGTAGTGCTATAATCCCATAATCTCTTATGGACTGACCAAAACCCTGCCCTTTTCTCACCTCTCTTTTTCTCACACCTAGCTTCATATCAATGCTTAACCGCAAAATGAGCATTTCATTTTGATTATTATCGCCACGACTTTCTATGTTTATTTACAAATTCATTTGTTTAAAGAAGAAGGAGCACAAGAAGCATGGAAGTATCCAAATAACACGCAGAGGTATTCAGGAACCACCTTGGTAGATATTTTGCAGCAAGCCGAGTACAGTATTATGCATGTAGCTGCTTTCAAAGTGTTCCTGTCTGCTCATCTTACTGCTGACTATCGTGATGCTTCGACCTTACTTAGAGAATCGCACGTGAAATCATTCGTATCTCAGTTGAAAGCTAAACATAAAAGGTTGACAATTGCTTAATTAATGATGCTGAGAATGTGGCGTTATTGATATATATTTGATTTACTCCCAGCGGGTAGACCTTAGTACTAGCTAGTATGAACACTTGAGGATGATATATTTCACTTTAGAATTTATTAATTAACAAATGAAAACTTGTCTCGAAAAGATACGTCCAAAACTACTCTCGTTGAGAGTTTCCGAATTGAACTTACTTTTAATATTCAACAAATTGTAGTGCAAAGACAACCCTTGGCTCCTGAGGGACTTGTTAATATTATTTTTAACTTTAGAAAACAGTAACATTTGTAACAAAATCATAATTTTTAAGCACATTCAAAGTTAATCAACGTAAAATATATATACATGAACAAACAAACATTTTCCGGAATTGAAAATTTTCTACACTTGTTACTGAATTTCATTAGACCAACAGGAAGACAATATTCCGAGAGACAATTCACCACATTCACATATAAATGTTAATATATTTGCTGAAATGATTTCCAAAAATCTCGTATTTGATATCAAGAGGTATATGAGCATGTTAGAGCACGACCTCGAAAACATTACGGAAAAGCCACTTATTATGGAAATACAATGAACACTTTAATGCAGTGACAGTGGTCCGTGATGCATTGCGATTTCTTAGTTAATTCCACGTAAAGTAGTGAAATGCATTTGCATTGTGAGCATAAAGTTAAGTTACTTATTTTACACATAAGAACACATGTACAGTACATTAGGGAGGATAAGGAAAATGGAATAATTATTTTTATAACAAAGATAATCTTTCAATCTACCCGTTGAACTGAACGGAAAATTAACAAATATTTGTTAAAGTACATTAAAAGTGCTTCTTCATTTTTCAAGTATAGAAATAAACATCTCATTATTGTTCACACAACTTTCAATAAGTATCTAATTATTGTTCACACAACTTTCAATAAACATCTCATTATTGTTCACACAGCTTTCAATAAACATCTCATTATTGTTCGCACAACTTTCAATAAATATGTAATTATTATTCACACAACTTTCAATAAGTATCTAATTATTGTTCACACAACTTTCAATAAACATCTCATTATTGTTCACACAGCTTTCAATAAACATCTCATTATTGTTCACACAACTTTAAATAAACATCTAATTATTGTTCACACAACTTTCAATAAACATCTCATTATTGTTCACACAGCTTTCAATAAACATCTCATTATTGTTCACACAACTTTCAATAAACATCTAATTATTGTTCACACAACTTTCAATGCTTTGGGTTGAAAGTATTCTACTTTTCTTGTTTATTCAAGTATTTTCATTCTGCATCCTTTGTTAGCATTTTTGGGTAGAAAGCTAAAACTTACTGTATTACAAAACTTGTTCCATATAACGGAACATGAGTTTTATAAGGCGCTCTCTAGTAAAATGTTTATCCTTGTAAAATTGCATCCAACGTGTGACATGTAACAAAATCGCATGAATTTATAGTATATATTTTTTAATTAACGTTCTCTGTATTATAATCTCTTATTCAAAATCAAGAGTTCCTCAAAAGGTACAAGGTACTATAACATTTCATAATCTGTAACGAAACTCCAATCCTTCAGCTTGTAATAAGAGACTTTATACTAATAATACAAAATTATGATGGGCGTTGTCATAGCAACTAATCCGCTGGTCGTATAGGAAGTATCTTATATATTATAATTTATTGCTGGTTCATATTACATCACATATTTTAATAGTTCATTTGATACTGTAACCTCAGAAACAAAGCATTTCTTTTTGTTAGTGAAGTTTGTTTCGATTTCATCATAAGTATAGCCTGACTCATTTTCGTTAATGATAAATAAGGAGACCTGAAACAATAATAACTGTCTTTAATTTTTCTATCGTTATTTCTAAATACATGTATATATAACTATAAGCATTTGCCCAGGTAAAAAAAATGCGTAAAAAGAAACTTATAAACGATAAGTGGGTGCATTTAAAAGTTTATTGGATATGTTAGCTTTCACTTTACTTTTATGCCGTACGACTACCATTAACAAGAGAACTGTGTAGCAGGAAAATCATTTCACAAAAGGCTTGGGGGGGGGGGGATGGGTGCAAAGAAGGCTGACCTCGCGTGGGGCACCCAATTCAGCTGTAGACCCAATGCTGTGGCATAATTTGCGTATATGGGTTAATCCGTCCTGACTATAAATTTCTCTCAGAAACTGCCATCTGGGGTCCTCTCCAGAATTTAAGGACGACCTTGTCGCCCCCAACAAATTATGTCTTTCCTCCGTAGGCGAGAAAAGTACGTGGTTTCGACTGTTAAAATAGTGCCTTACTAGTTAGCACTTAACTCAACTGGTAGTAACGCTATCTGACATGCGGGTTTAGATTATCACAAGTACAAAATTAAAAAAGAAAAGTGTGGCACTCTTCAAATTAAAATATGTTTATTGACGAATTTGAAAACAACATTTCAGACAACCCTTCCTCAGGTTTGCAGTGAAAACAAAACAGTTTTTATAAGAGATAGAGTTTAAGTAGTTACTTGCGAAGTAGTTACATGGACAGACAACAGACAGTATTATTATATTTATACAGATATCCAAAGCAGACGTTTCAAAATAGACTGATTTTTTTTATTTTTTTTTTTACCTATAAAAATCCAAAGGGCGTCCAACCAGCTTCTAAACCACAAATAAGGTTGGCTGCCCCCTATTAAACTCTGAAATGGCGCTCCTGGTATAAGTAGCTTCTTGGAGTTGTTTCCGTTTGAATATTTCTGATGTATGTTATACGGATAGCTAATATCTTACAAATACACATACCATAATGTTTATGTGTGTCGACTGTCTTAACTTTGACTGTCAATGACAGCAACTTAGATGATTAATACATGAGGAAAGTTAACAAAAAAGATCTAAGTTGCTGTCACAGTTTATAGCACATTTGTGTTGTGAGCTTGTTAGAATATTTTATTTTTTCCATTACCAATAAAAGTGGAAAGCATCCTACCTGTTAAAACTCGCTGTCCACTTCTAAGTTCATTCATAGGGATCACATTATTGGTTTCCGTGAAAACAGTGGCTACAGCAGGAAAACAAGGTCCCTGTGCGCAGTCGCAGCAAAAGGTGCGGTGAGTCATCTTGCTACGACAGTAACACAAATTATGCATTCCACACTGAATTCCAAATGCTTTTCTTTCCTGGACATACAAATCAGTTGTTATTGATTATTTTTAGCTCCACAGCTATAGTTCTTATCATTTCAACAGTAGAACATTGATAGAGTAAAAAAAAAAGTTATCAGTTTTTCAAATCATCTACTTTTCTAGAAACTTCAACATGGCCGATTTTTACGCTAAAAGAAAATAAGAGATGAAATACAAAGTGTGAATAAAATGTCAAAGAAAGAAAAAAAATTAACGTAAAACAGGAAGGAAATAACAATTTATAAAAGAGAAAATTAAGATGACGTAAGAACATGTAAGGAAAAAAATTAGAAGATCAAGAAATACGTAGTTTCAAATATGGAAGCAAAAAGGTGATGAAATAGTAAAAAAGTATATTAACATCGTTTCTCAAAATGTTTTCGAAACTTATTTTGTGGAATAGCTCGCTTTGAAGTCGTTAACAAAAATCTTTGTTACTTTACACGTTGTTAGTTTTACTTGAAAACGTATATCAAAAATCTAAAAGTGCAAGTCTGACATATTTGTTCAAAATTACGTATTTCACATCAACATTGGCTAAAATTTACATTCAAAAACAAGCAATTACATATTCAAACATTTTAAGAGCACAATCGTAAAACAGTAACTTTTTCTTATAAAATTATTACAAAGAGGTAAGAAATAAGTAATAAGAAATTCACAAAAATGTTTACATTACCCTGTCAAATTGTAAGATATTCTCATCGTTTCTGGAAACGTCTACAATTTCAGATAATGTCATTTCATCTGCGAAGAACAAATGCTTGTACATTTTGATGCTGAAGATGACAACTTAAAACTACTTCAAGAATAAAGTTAGCATTGTATTTGGTAATGTTGTTAGATACCTGATATATTTATTGTGCTATTCGATACTGTGTTATGCTTGGCATGGTTGTTACATGTTTGCTACACTTATTGTACTATTGGAGACTGGCGTTACGAACTGTATTTCATCAGAAGGAAAGGGCTGACATCATTAGGTAACAGAAATGAACAGGTGTGAATGATAAAAATCTAGCAGAGGCAGACTTAAGACGAACACACATGAAACTGTGTACTACCCGTTTAAAAACCATGAGTGTGCTTTATTTATGATTGTTTGTTTGTTTTTAATTATGCACAAAGCTACACAAGGGCTATCTGTGCTCTGCCCACCACGGGTATCGAAACCCGGTTTCTAGCGTTGTAAGTCCGCAGACATACCGCTGTGCCACTGGGGGGCGCTTTATTTATGAGTGAATAGTCTTAGGTGAGAACCTCAAGATAAATTGACATTGCTCATTGAAGTTTATAAAGAAATATATATCTGTCTGTGTACTAGATATTATTTTTCTCTTGCATATATTTATGTACTTAGCTATTCAGGGGTTTCAAAAAGGTATATTGTCTCAAACATAGCAACTCGTCCATAAATAAGAATATATTCGTAAGTACATACCCCCGGGGTGCCAAGATATCTCTTCTAAATCGTGCAACAATACCCGGTCATGTGACCTCTTTGTTCCATACTGTATATATATATCTGTGTTAGTATAAACTCTTTGTACCTGATGATGACAAAATCTTGTTGAAACGTTGCACCTTTGCTGTTATGTTAAACTCATATTGAATTTTTTCTTCATTACCCATTCAAGCCTTCTCCAAGCATTATTTGTAGTCTATACAAGTTACAACCAATGTACTGTAGAACAAGATCGTGTTTCTAACTTTGTCTTATTGATGAAAATGTTTTGTAAAGCCAAGTTTTTATTTTTCAGGTGTCCGTTTTGTTGGTTTAGAGTAGGGTTGTTTTGTTCAATTAAGACGGATTCCTTGATTTTTCGTTTGTTTATGTTTGGTTCTTTGTTTAAAAGCACTGTGTTTTTAATAGATATACTATGGTTTTTTTTGAGTTACAATGGTGGAAAACATGGGACCGTTTTTTATTGTGTTCTGTGAATCTGGTTTCCAATTTTCTTCCTGTTTCTCCGATTAATAATTTTGGGCCATACTTTGTCCCATATTGTATATATATATATCTGTGTTGGTGTAAACTACTTGTACCTGATGATGACAAAACCTTGTCGAAACTTTGTACATTTGCTATTATGTTAAACTTATCTTAAAGTTTTTCTTCATTACCCATTCATTCCAAGCATTATATGTATATATATGTGTGTGTTTGTAATTCTTAAGGCCAAGATTGATTTATTTTTCGTTTTATGAATTACGTTTTTCGATTTCAAAATTTTGATTTCCGAAGAAAATGTGCATTTTTATATTTTTTTTATTTCTGACGCGGAATTTCATGTTTTCGAGAAAAAAAATAATAATGTGATTTCTCCTCTTTTTTTTTTTGTAATTACCGAGGCGGAATTTTACTCGTTAAAACAACAATCGAAAGTAGTACGGTATAAAATGTTCGAACATTGTGGCAACACGTATACCGTAATACTTCGATGTTTTATCTACAAACGTGCACAACAATCTTGAGCGCATATTTTTCATAACGCTGTTTCGCAAAATTAAAAAAACAACAAAAAAAAACAATCAATTACAGTATTTTTCACTGCCCGGAGCGGATAAAACAGTAGTGCGTCTCGCGAGTAGCATACAAAATGGCGGTATGGATCTCAGTAATTATAAGGAAAACTTAGATATTGTGAGACATTCATTACAAAAAATAATCTAGATGTAACCATTGGTGATTTGATAGGTGACTGAATAAAAATGAGAATGTCGCGGTTAGGGGTTTCAAATACCTAATATACATGCACGCTAGTAACTGATGGCACAATATACCTAATATACATGCACGCTAGTAACTGATGGCACAATATACCTAATATACATGCACGCTAGTAACTGATGGCACAATATACCTAATATACATGCACGCTAGTAACTGATGGCACAATATTATCTTTATTTCCTTCGACCCCTAGTTTCATTGGAAAAGTTGCGTAAAACTAAAACTAAAAATTCTGACCTAATCTCAGGACTCGATAAATGACTGAAATAAATTAGCATTTCGCGATTTTACCATGTCAAAATTATAAAACACCGAAATTAAATGTGATGTTGGTATTTGTGAAAATTATTTTGCTCAAATTGGAAAACGTAAAATAACAAATAAGTATAGATTGAAACAGAAAAAAAAATCAGACAGATGTTTAGATTTTTGTGATAAAAGATTTAAACAAATTGTAATTGAGAAACTGCAGTACGTCTAAGCACAATTCGTAAAAACACTGAAATAACATTTCATTTCAGTCTTCGATCATTTTAACATACTCAAATCATTAAATGGTTATGCTGTCCGGTCAATGACCGAATACTAAGGTTGGACATAATATATATATATGCACTATACTGTTATGATTTTTTTGTTTTTTACCTTAAAAGTACTTTAGAAGCTTCAAAGGAATATAATTACACTTATATCATATATTCTGTATGAATACCCCGAAATACCTGTTTATCCAACAGATGCTACTCTGCCAGAAATGATGTTTACATGTTTCATAAGACTTAATAACCAAACTAAAAAATATTTATTATCGCAATATTAACATTGCCGTGTTATTTCTGCTTCGTTCAATTGTTTGTTTGGAATTAAGCACAAAACAACACAATGAGCTATCTGTGTTCTGCCCACCACGGGTACCGAAACCCGGTTTCTAGCGTTGTAAGTCCGCAGACATACCGCTGTGCCACTGGGGAGCGCTTCGTTCAAGCCAGTTCTGTTTCTTTATTTGAAGAATACCTATCGACACCTTGCAAGGGTCCATAAAAACTCAAAAATAATTAAATGTAAAAGAAAAAAATTAAAGCGTGTGCCCGTAATAATAAGTAAAGACATTTCTAAAGCTTCATAAAGTACATCAGCGCTTACAGTTTCTCGATACGATATTACGAAGAATGTAAAAAAGCACAGAAAAAAATATTTCTTTTTAAATCATCAAAAAACGATTATAGAGACATAAATGCAGCTATGATTGATGATGATGATGATACTTTTTGATGCAAAAAAAAGTGAAAAATGCCTAAGCTATTAAACAAAATGTTGATCGTTTCTCCAAAATCGTTAAAGATAGAGAATTCTAATCTTAGCACTTCGAAGAAAGTTTATATAATGAATAATTCAGGTAGTACAGTGAAGTTCTTACTATCACTGGTTGAATTTCTATCAGCTTTAAATTACTGAGTAAAAAATGTCAATATTACTGTTCTGAAATAAGCATGCCACATCTTTATAGTATATAATAGAATTTCTCTACATAGTACCTAGGATGTTTCTTAATACCTTACTATAGCGTACTGGAACGTTATATCATATCATGTCAAATGTCTATATGCTAAAAACAAATACGTAAATATAATTGTATCCGCACATCACTATAGCTAATGGAAACACGTTTACATGTGAAACATACATACCTCTTTTAACAATAACGTTTGTGCAGACCTGTGTAAGTCCACATGTTAGTCCTAAGATCGGCGAAGACATGGTATAGCGTGTTGTGAGGATATCTTCTGTTGTCTAGCGGTTGTCCGAGGTCCTTTCTGTATTGGGATGAAAGATTTTTGAGCTGGATGATTTTTAGGCCCAGAGATTCCTGAGCTGTTCGTTATAGTTGACGATTTACTCGAGTTTGATTGGCTAGAATTGAGATTCGTACCTACAGCTTTTCTTGCGATATGTTTCCTACTAGGAGAACTAGGAACAGAAATAGTACTCCCTTGTTTGATAGAAGCATTTAAAGATTCATTTGATGTTGCCACTTGTTTAACTTTAGGGTGTTTGGACCAACGCGGTTTGTTAACAGCTGGTCTTACAGGAAGTTCCCGATGTCCTTTAGAAGCTATTTCTTTCGGAGAATTCGAGGTATCACGTGGAAGCTGTTGGACAGAAGCGTTTCGAGAAGAAGAGGGGGAGGGTAGATGTGTAGTAGTTGGTGATAATTCTGTTCCTCTTTTTGACGTAACAGTTTGTCTTGACGTTCGTGCAAGAGATTTGGATTTCCCACGATTCTGATTGGTCAGTGGAGAAGACGATGTAGTAGGTCGTTTGGACGTAGTTGTTGTTATAGTTATAGTATGAGCCTGCTCCAGACTGTTGGGTGTGGATGTCAGTTCTTCCCATTTCCTTTTCAATTTTTCAAAACACTCTCCCTTGTCATCGTTTTTTTCATTTTGATTTTTACAGCTGACTAAGCGTCTTCCTGCAAAATCCTGCACATTTTTCTGTTCCACTCTAATGTTGCGAACAAAACAGTCTGTACTTTGGATTATATTATTGGAGTTTTTGTCGCCTCTTGTATCTTTCTGTTTCTGAGCTTCTTGTTCACGTACTTCTGTTAAGGGAAAAGCGAGGTCAACTGCCTTCTGAAACCGTTCTTTTGTGGGATTCGAATTCAGCGCTGTAGATGAAATTATTTCAGAACTTATATCAATGTCACAAACCCTTTTATTTAGCTGTAGTACATCATCCGATACTTCTAAGTCACTTTTGTTATCGAATTTCTTCTGTTGTTGGAAGTTTTTAACCCTTGTAGATTCTTTACTGTTATTTTGTAAGGAAGTTTTATCCTTCGTCGTCAGTTCCCCACTCTCACTAGTTTTACTAATTTGCTTTAATGTTGGTGTATTTGCTTCCTCATACAGAACACATTTGTGACCAATAGGATATAAAAGTGGTATCTGATCTACATTCGGTTTCTTGAGTGGCGGTAGAGGTTTTTGTTCCCCATTTGGTGTTGACACTATAATCTCATCATCGGTGCATATAATATCACTTTTTCTCACATTCAAATCTAGTGAAAACGGTAGAGTGGAAAGAGGTCTAAGTGTGATCAAAACGTCCTCGCACAAGTTGGTAGCTAACGGAGAAGCCAGGAGGCTAAGTAACGCATCGGGCTGGTAATACTGACGAATCAGAGGCTCGCATGAAGTCAAATGTAGAAACCACCAATCAATGATCCCAAGACTGCAAAGAAACCCCCAATCAATGATCCAAAAACTACAGACACAGATTAAGAACATTTCGACCCTTATGTTCATTTTCACAGTAATTAAAGAATATCAACAGAAATCATATTCCGATTTGCAATGTAGACATAACAAAGTTAATAATAAGTATAAACTTAATATCTAAATAAACAAAAAATCTCTAAAAGCTGATATGGGTATTCTTATTTTACTGATAATCGATTAATAACAAAATATTAAATTTTATGTCTGTGTAAAGTCTACAGTATGCAAACATTGATATTATTGAGAAATTAATACATAGAATAAAACCAGTTACGTTGAAGTTTTTCTTTAACTATAACTGTAAAAATAACTGTCCAGCACCCTTACTTGAGAAGCCCAAAAACAAACATATAAAATTTGCAAGTAGTTCCAACTAAGTAATCTTTTCCTGCAATGTACTTCACCAGGTCTTGAAGTTCTTTTGTTGGATGACCTAATGAAAAATATATACACATATTTAGAAAAATAATAAAATCATTCGTCTTGTTATTTAACGAGCTATAACTTTGACTTGTTAACAAACCTTTTCTCCATTGTGTGTGTATAACATTTGTTTCCTAACCTTACTGAGAATGTCATTCGTCTTGTTATTTAACGAGCTATAACTTTGACTTGTTAACAAACCTTTACTCCATTGTGTGTGTATAACATTTGTTTGCTAACCTTACTGAGAATGTCATTCGTCTTGTTATTTAACGAGTTATAACTTTGCTTTATTCACAAACCTTTACTCCATTGTGTGTGTGTATAACATCTGTTTCCTAACCTTACAGAGAATGTCATTCCTCTTGTTATTTAACGAGCTATAACTTTGCCTTATTCACAAACCTTTACTCCATTGTGTGTGTATAACATTTGTTTCCTAACCTTACTGAGAATGTCATTCGTCTTGTTATTTAACGAGCTATAACTTTGCCTTATTCACAAACCTTTACTCCATTGTGTGTGTGTATAACATTTGTTTGCTAACCTTATTGAGAATGTCATTCGTCTTGTTATTTAACGAGCTATAACTTTGCCTTGTTCACAAACCTTTACTCCATTGTGTGTGTGTATAACATTTGTTTGCTAACCTTATTGAGAATCACACAATGGAGTAAAGGTTTGTGAATAAAGCAAAGTTATAGCTCGTTAAATAACAAGACGAATGACTTTGTATAACATTTGTTTCCTAACCTTACTGAGAATGTCATTCGTCTTGTTATTTAACGAGCTATAACTTTGACTTGTTCATAAACCTTTACTCTATTGTGTGTGTATATAACATTTGTTTGTTAACCTTACTGAGAATGTCATTCGTCTTGTTATTTAACGAGCTATAACTTTGCTTTATTCACAAACCTTTACTCCATTGTGTGTGTGTATAACATTTGTTTCCTAACCTTACTGAGAGTGTCATTCGTCTTGTTATTTAACGAGCTATAACTTTGACTTGTTCATAAACCTTTACTCTATTGTGTGTGTATATAACATTTGTTTGTTAACCTTACTGAGAATGTCATTCATCTTGTTATTTAACGAGCTATAACTTTGCTTTATTCACAAACCTTTACTCTATTGTGTGTGTGTATAACATTTGTTTGCTTACCTTACTGAGAATATCAATCCGTTTTCCAATAGTAATACATATCATTCAACTTGTTAAACCAAGTGTCAGTCCTTACTCTTCCGTGCACACTAATCTCTTTTCTAAAACTTGTAAACACTAAATGATATTAAATTCAGTATACTACTGAAAGTAGTAAACTAATTGAGTGAAAAATAAGTTATTAAAATAACGATTTAACCACAGATAAAACTTTTGAGCATATCCTAAAGTTTCAGCTTACCGAAGCAGGAGGACGCTTCCGCCACTTTCCATGGTGAATTAGTGATCAAATTTGAACCAACATTAGAAGAGAGGAGTCCGTTTGCTAAGACGTTGTAGACGGCTGGGCATAAGTATTTTAAGACCTTCATAGTAAAAACCAATTAAGGATAACTTGACAAAAAAATGAAACACTAAATGATTTTAAAACCTAAATTAACTACATGACAAAGAAGAAAATAAACAATATTTACAAAAGCATTAAACAGAAACGAGTTCCAGCTTCATAAAAATGTATGTTATTGAAAACGAATACTTCGATTTTACGTCAGAATACAATGTAACACACACACACAAAAGTGCAACTGCGAAAGAGAAGTTGATTGAGGTTTATTTTTAACAAATATGCCTAGTAACATGCTACTTGAAGCACCTGCATAAGTTCAGTTTCCAGAAGAGTTTAGTAAATGCTATTTGTTACTTGTTTCTCTCATCAAATTTATTTGGTATACCTAGATTCACAACTTATTTTATTCTTTGAGTAACATTATGGTTTCTAGATTATAAAGTAGAGTTATTGAAAAATAGCCTAACTATTAGGGGATATCATTTATCAGACTTATTAAACGATTATTAGCAAAAATTTTTATAATGACTAACGTTTCAGAATGACTTTATGTTTTTCGAGTTATTTTCAAAGTAAGTAATTTTTGCTACTGAAACACAAACCAGATCGCAATAAATGTTATCAGTTCTAGCCCGGTTACAGTACTAGTATATACAACGTTTTTGTTCTAGTCTTCGTATAATGTTAACATCTTTAATGACGGCTAGTTTGATAACAAAAGTCTTTCAAATGGTATGATACGATATTTGCCAGCATCAATAAATCATATGTTACCTTTTGTTTTTGCACTTCGTAGTCCTTATTGTAACTTAAGATTAGTTCTACAGCAACAGCGATGTTCTTCAGCAATCCTGGATAGAAATATTAAACCCTCATTTTAAACAGATTATTTACTATATATTTCTGTCAAAAATTATTACGTACAATAAAAGAGCTACTTCATCAAAACGTCCAACACTTATAAGCGGTCAAGCATTAAATAAAACAAAACAAATAATACAAACAAATAATTATGATCGAAAAACTGTAAGAGGAATTAAAACGTTCTTTTGTTTTAATCTTACGTTGTGACAAAACGTTATTTTGTCAGCTTTTCTGCTAAAATTACATTAAATATACTAAATAAAAACATGTTAAGTTTTACTTAAATTGTTGGGTACCATTTTCTCAAAGTACATTGAAGATGCATGAATCAACCAGTTACACTAAAGCAGGAGGAAAAACATGACCTACGATACTGCATTTGGTGTACTTGTTAACACTACAAATTTGGACTACATAGGTGCGGGTGATAAAAAGTGATGAGAATTCACACAATACTCTTATAACTCTATGATTTCAACAATATCTATGATCTATACATATAGAAGCGACTCTCTGTTCTTGACGCTCGTTTTGTTCGTAATGTTCAAATTGGTTCAGTGATCAGTCTAAATCGAAAGGCTTGCGTCCAAACCACAGTTGAGTAAGGATTTGATATAGCTTTTTAAATTATTAACTCATAGCGAAATCTTACAATATTAGGAAAACCAGAATAACATAATCATTCAGATTAGGGATTTGAATTATTTGTTAACTTTCGATTAGAAAGAACTGGTATCCTGTGTTATATCGCGCGACGATAATGTGTTCAAATCGCAGGAGAGGTGGGATTTATGTTATTTTTTATTTTGTTTCATTTAATATATATATATATATATATATATTATCATACATACAGCAAACTCTTTGAATATATTCGCAAAAATACGAATACCATTATAGATTAAGTTAAGGATCATATGACATTATTTATAAACGCCAAAGTAGTTATCCCCCCACTTGTCAGACACGCTGTCAGAGAGTGCTACACCTGTGTCGGATTCAGGAAGGAGACAGGGGGATGACGACTTCGAAGACGACGACGTCATAGTTTCAGAAAGTGGCAAGTTATAAGGAACTCGTTGCTCGACCGCCATGACAGGCGACCATAACGTCATAGTTCCACAAAGTCTCACTGACACACACTCTGAAGGTTTATCGGGCATAGTATGTAATAATTGTACACTAGCACATCAACTATTGAGAATATATATTTATTGCTTTGTATCACTATGTAATGGACTATGTTTACTGAATTTTAAATTTCAATGACATTCAAAACTTTATTCAAATTATGGTGACATTGAAATTATGTAGAACATATTTTCAATAATAAATATAATGTAAATACATAGATAGTGACAGTGTAATGTAATTGACTTTTATTTTAATAAGAGTTTTCTGTACATTCAAACGAAAGTGTTATCTGTTTTACCTAACACTAAAGGTCAAAAAGATTTTCTAAACTTGACGTTCTGCTTTATATATTTTCTAAAACCAAGTCAGGCTGTAACCAAGGTGAGTGTTGATTCACCCATCACTTCTTTGTAAAAGGTCAGTTCCTAACACAGTGATTTCAGTGTTCAGATTGTATGGATGTAACTTCCTAATAGTGTCTTATTACTAGACAGTCTCAAAGTTTTATGCAATTTGGTATTTTGAATAACAATAAAGTAAAACAGCAAGTCATTTATTATATTTAGTTGTAGGATCATAAAAGTAAATTATTGGTTATAATAGCTGTCTCATTCAAATAATATGTATGTTTTACTTGTGAAAGTGAAGTAGTAAATGTTCTACAGATCACTGTATGAAAGAAGCTATGAACAGTCTAAAAATGTATTACATACTTTCACAAGGTTTGTGCACTCAAAGAAGCTGGGAGGTGTGTTTTCCAGTGATAAATGCCTAATAGCGTTAGACAGTCTCAAAGTTTTATGCAATTTTAATCTTCAAGGGAATGTTCTATAGAAAATGGATGGATAAACAGTTAGTCATCCATTTATTATTTTTAGTTGCACCGAACTGTATTAGTACAGATGTTAAAATATGCAAAATAATGGTTTTGACATAATTAAATCTAGACATTGATGACATAATCACCTGTGGAAATATAGTAATACTGTCACAGCATATTTGTTAAAATCCTTCGTGGAAGTATAGTCTCCGCCTTTGTAAAACTTGTGTAAGGTAAAACTATAAAAGTATCATGTGTAAAATGAAATATTTTATCAAGTTATAGCATAAAGTCAAGCTAATGAAAGTTTAAACATAATGATTGCACAATATTTAATAAGAATTTTATTGGTGACGTAATCATATGTTGAGACACATTGAAAAATAATTTGCTTTAATAATATAATGTATATGTAGAACACCGTCCAACTTTGTAAAAAATGAGATAAAACTATAAAATTATCATGTGTAAATGAAATATTTTGTCTTGCATATTAAATAATTGCTGAAAATCACTAAAGGTATAATTAAAGAGTCAAATAGTAAGTTTTAATTATTTCATGATATCGTCCTATTAGGAAGATTTACATATAAAAGGTCAGGAAATGTATGGAACTAATACATTAGTATGAAGCATCCTTTTTCAGAACAATTTACATATAAGGGGTCAGGAAAGGTATAGAATTAATCAATTAGCGATAAGCGTCCTTTTTAGAATGATTTAAATATAAGTGTTTGGGAAATGTAATTAAGTAATGAATTTGCTATTTAGACCATCTGTATTAATTATAGTCATGTTGATCAAATTTATGCTGGCCCCCACTTAATGGAACTATGACGTCATGATAGCCTAGAAACACGTTTTCTGTTTTCGTAGAACTATTATGACAGCCGTCTGTCTGGTATCGAACTATAATTTAAACCCTCTCTAATATAGATACGCCCTCTGGTGACACGTTGTGGAACTATTTGGTGATGAGGAACCCACTTTGAGACTAATGATGACAAAACCTTGTCGAAAGGTTGTACATTTGCTGTTATGTTAAACTTATATTAAAGTGTTTCTTCATTGCCCAATCAAGCCGTCTCCAGCCATTAGTTGTGAAACTATGATGTCATGGTGGCCTACCAACGCGTCCCTAATAATGCGCTTTGGTGACAATTTGTGTATCTATGACGTCATCGTCTTTGATACCATACCCCTCCCCTCCCTGAGTCTGACACACGTTTAGCGCCTTCTGGCGGCTTGCCTGGCAAGTGGGGGATAACTACTCACCAGTGTCTGTCTGTATCAAACACAACTTAAATATATTTTCAACCCAGTAGATGGTGGCATTATTATTATTAAAGTTTTTTAATTTAGGTAATTTAATAATTTAAAATTTTGTCAAAAAAATTATAAGCACTTTTTTGTGAAAAGTTATACCCTTGTGAATTTGTCCTGCACCTTCAAATATTTTGCCATCACAATTAATAAATCGCAGGTTCAGATATTTGATCATGCAGGAATATTTCTTTGAGAACCAGTTATTTTTTTATTTTTTATTTTGCAATGGTTCATTTATAATTTTTTAATTAAGAAGAATACTTCAAGATAAAATAAAAATATCCATAAGTCAAAATTCTAATCACTAATTTAAGATTACTTACCGGAAATGACCAGATATACACAAAAATATTGTTTTAGCGAAATACTAGAAAAATGATGAACATTCTTTATACATATATTGTTATTGTCATATAATTAGTTTTAAAAATGTTTATAAAACATTTAATTAGATTCAGTATGTTAACCTGTCATGTGTTTGAATCTGTTCTGTTGCATTTTCTGTTTAACTTAGATAAGAATCGTATGTAAACTTATGTCTAAAATCTTGCTATTTTCAAGACAGACATAGACGTGTAGAGGCTCCTAAGTTGTTTAATATGAAGCACTCATCCTCCATATGTACATCATTTGCACTTCTCATCACATGAATGACCTTCAAGGTTTTTTATTTTCATTTCTCGCAAAACTACACACTGCGCTAGCCGTCCCTAATTTAGCAGGAAAAGACTAGAGGGAAGGCAGCTACTTTTTTAACAATGAATAGTGGGATTGACCGTTACATTATAACGCCACCATAGCTGAAAGGCGAGCATGTTTGATGGGACGGGGATTCAAACCTGCGACTCTCAGATTGCGAGTCAAGCGCCCTAACCACAAGGCTATTTCGGGCCGAATGACCTTCAATTACGTGATCTGTATAACATAATATCGTGGGTGACTGACTATATAACATTGAGAGTACCTTTGTCATGACTATAATATTGCAGATTCGATTACATTTTAATTGTTTTTGCTCTGTATAAAGATATGTTCTAGTTATTGGTGGAATTTCTGTTCTATGCTACACCTGTAGAATTTTATTTTATTTTTTCTAAATGGTGCAAAAGGTGTAGGCAGTCAACAATACGTCATTCAAATATATCGTTTTTCGCGCACAGACTAATATAATTGTTTTGAAAACATTATTAATCTAGGTGCTGTAATAATCTTTCAAACGTTTAAATACAATCGAAAGCAAAAACCAAAATATTCAGTGAGTAAGATGATTTAACTTATGCTCTGATTAAAGTTACCCGTCTCGAATCCTCTCTTTTTTTATAAATGCAAAGTTCACGGCTCTCACTTTTATTTTACTTTCGATTTTTAGTTTTACTTCAGTATTTAATTGAACAAATCAACCTACTGTCGGGTGTATGCAGAAATATATGAAGGTGGTTCGAGTGTAGGCAAAAATCTACTTTTGAAATAAAAGGGAAATTAGAGATGAAGGTCCAGAAACATGATTCTAATCGTATTTGAAACTGTTGCTACACTTTTTAAACATGCTTTATATATATATATATGAGTGCAATTCAAGGGGTGCAATCGCACTCGGCGGACCCTTCCTGCCTATGCGTATCAGTGTTATAATATATCGTCGTACCTGTTTTTTGTTTCAAGTTCAGTGCTAAGATTTCTGCAAGCCGTGAATTATTTATATCCGAAAACACTGCAGAAGGCGTCAGAGTTATAGACGACTCTTGTTGTGGCGATACTGCAAATTCCTCTGGTGGATTTTCATATTCGTCTTCGCTATTTTGGTCATCTATTGAGAACTCTTTTGTTGCTGTCAGTAACAAAACATTGAGTATCAATTGATCATTCAAAATACTTCAAGCTTAAACGTAAACCCAAATATTGAATTCTAAATATAAGTTTTGTATCCCATATTGAAACATTTGTTCAAGAACCATAATCTCATTACTTTGCAAATATGCGATAACAATGAAAGAAATAGAGATTTCGGTTTTAAATAAAAATTATGTCGGAAGTATAAAATTTATAAAATCCTGCATACAGTAAAAAAATATGGACGGTTACTATGCATAATGTTAACTAATTATTGACAATAGTTTTACGAAAGAGTGAAATATTTGAACATTTTTAGGCCACCATATTTGAATAGAAAATATATACGGTATTTACATTTGAAACCAACATCTGACGCAGTTATCTAATTTTTAAAAACGAACTGTAGAAGAACTTACTCTCACGTATGACGTTGTCTACTCCAATAGCCAGGTTGTCGTGAAAGGTAACTGACTTTTTTCCTCGTGAAAAGCTGCAACAGTTCACTTCATCTGGTGATCCTTTTGTTGATGACAGCGCTGCTGTCATCAAGTTTAAACTCGTACTGGAGTTAAGTAATTGGTGCAACTGGTCGCAAAGCTGGTTGATTGGAGAGGTAATGGAGTTGAGACTGATAGAACAACGTTGGCTCCCTCTTTGATAATTTTTACCGGTATTCAAGTTATTGTCGTTATGTTTACAATGAGCAGGGATCTCTGGATTTTGTTGCTTATATATAACTTGTTGAATTGGTAGTAGAGAGAGACTTTTTGGAACATAATTACTTGGACACTTTTCATCTGATTGGACTTTTATAATATGATTATTAACTCTCTGTTCTTCTATAAAATCTGAATATGTTTTTCTGAAGTAATTTTTACTCTCAGTTTCTGCATATTTACAGTCTGAAGACGTTTCCATCTGAAATTCAATGTTGTTATTATTCATTGCTGTTTCTCTATTTTTATCTGAATTTACATCATTTTTAGGTTGTGTTATTCTTTCAGGTATATTGTTTAAGAATTGAGGAGACTGATCGAGTCGATTACGTCTTCGAAAGTCGAACTGAGAAGACATTTCGAGGTCTACCACATCACGACTTCTTTGTTTGTTACAATAACTTGCTAATGAAGACTTTCTCAAAATGCCTCGTCTAGAATTATTTTCACTTTGACTGACTAAGAAATTAGGTTTATCCAACACCAAAGAATCAGAGGGTATAAGTAAATCTGATTGGATTCTCTCGGCTTTACAGTGCTCAGAAGGTACAAGTAAATCTGATTGGATTCTCTCGGCTTTACAGTGCTCAGAGGGTATAAGTAAATCTGATTGGATTCTCTCGGCTTTACAGTGCTCAGAGGGTATAAGTAAATCTGATTTGATTCTCTCGGCTTTAGAGTGCTCAGAGGTGATAAGTAAATCTGACTGGATTCTCTCGGCTTTACAGTGCATTCCTAAAGTGTTATGAGAATGTAGATTTTCACTGCCCCGAGAATTTGATGTTATCGAGGAAATACTTTCACCAGAGCAAGATAAATCTTGTTCATGGTAATTTTGACTTGTGGTATGTTCTGTACAATACCGGTTAATGTCACTTGAACAACTACAGTGAAATCCATCTTTATCTATGTACCCGTGATTTTGGTCATCGTCTTTTATTTCTTGATAAATTGATATAACGGATTTCAACTCTGTGGGAAGCAAAACACTTAATGAGTCCCAGTCTTTAATATGACTGAAAGTTTGAGGAGACAGGCTTCCAAGGCTTCCAGTGTTTGGCAAAGATCTGTCTTTTCCAAAAGCATCTACTTGTTTGTTATGGTTGCTAATGGACGTTGTTGGGAAATTATCAGTTGACTTAATATACACTAAGTCTTTTCCTTCTGATGTACGTCTAAGATTTTTCAAAAAACTCAGGTCAGGTAAAGAATAGCTGGGGTAACATACATACACTGGTTTTTTCTCTGAGTTTGTAGTGCTTAGTGTGTTGGAAAACCTTGAACTGACAGGAGATAGATATGAAGGAAACAGTAATTCAGCAGTCTTATCTCCTAAAGAATCCGTGGAGATCTTATGGACACTGAAGCTTCCTCGACGGCTGTTAGCAGATGTGAAGGATGTTTGTATGGCACGATCTTTGACGTGTAGCGGAACTTGTGTGCCATAACTTCTGGTGGTGGCAATTTTTATAATTGACTTTGGTTTTAAAACAGGAGTTAAAGCACAAACGTTATTGATGAACGTTTGGGAATTGTTGCATAATATGTCTACACAATTTTGTTTATTTACAGAATAACCACTAGAAGCAGGAATAGTATCTCTAGAAATACGATTTTCTCCAATGTTGTTTAATAGTTCTTCAAGACTGGGAAGAGGCTGGGTGGAATTTTCTTCACTATAAAAGTATGCGGGGATCTTTACGTTACAGTTTAATGTCTTGGTCTGAGTTCCTTGGGAAATGCTTTCTGGTATAAGCTCAGTGCATTTCTGCAATAATTTATTGCTATCATTTCTTACACAGATATTGTCTGCAAGTGTTTTTTCTACTTTATCACTGAGTAAAAAGTTGTTGATTCTTTGAACTGTAATGTTTTCTACCATAGGTTTCTTCATAGCTGTTTTATACACAGTAGCATTGTTTTTATTGACAGGCACATCGTCAGACGTACTGACACTACTGCCAACCGGATTCCCGTTTTCTCCAATTGATTCATCTTCATTAAGTGATTCACCAACTATCTGCTCGTTTTCTTCTTCCTGGATAGTGTAAGATTGGGTAGAAGTGTGTTGTATCAAAGGACCTTCTACCAAACTGTCTTCAAAATATTGTGAACTACTATCATCACTTTCAGAAAAAGAATGTTTATGACTAATACTTATGGGTATATCTTTATTAAATATATTGGTGTTGTTATTGAAAGATGTTTCAACCAAATTATTATTAAGTTCATTCACATGGGCATTTAAAGTGTTTGTTTTTAACTTTGGTGTTTGCCTTCTGGAATTTGCATAAACCCTTGTTTGTTGCTCTTTTATATTGTTGCAATCCAAAAGCATAGTATCTACAGTATAATTACCAACATTATTTTCAGTCTGAAGATCATGTGTCTTTACAGAAAACATTCCTTTACACATACCTCCGTATTTCTCTTTATCAGAAATACTTTCGTTGGAATGAATGACAGGGTACGGCAACGTACTTTCTGCAGATCCAGGCTGACTACTGGATGCTGAGATAGAAAAAGTCTCTGACCCAAAAGAATTCTTATTTCTAATAAACAGTTTAAACATAGGAATAGAATGTTTGTTGTCTTTTGCTTCATTGCCTTGAAGAGAACCATAACAACTGCTGTGAAGCTCGTAAATAGGGACATTTGATATAGAGTTAATTTTAAATCCCCATTCCCCCAAATGTTTCTCTGCCAACACTACAGAATGTTTGAACAGACTGGGAAGACTTTTGCTTCTAGAGCATAAGCATTTAGCAGAGAGTGCTGGGAAAATCAGTTTTTTAGAATTCTTTAGTTTTTCCCAGGTTGTGTACAATAAATCTGACTGCACCATAGAGGTATAAGCTGTTTTCTGAGGCTGACGATATTCAGTAATCATTTTTGATCGTGGAATGTTTTCTTTGTTTTGCTTCATATCCATCGTGTCTGAATCATATGATAGCTGAGTCCCGCTTCCTTCGAATGCGATAGTATAATTACTTTTGTTAGCTTGACAGGTAGTAGCGATACTGTGTTCATCTAAAGACGTGCAATCTAAACTATCCACAGAGGTGTTGTTCCCATTTAAAGGTTCCTTTGCAGGGGAAAACAGTGGCTCGTCTTTGCAAATAGATCCTTCTGCTGATTCGTCTTCTGACAGACAGTGAGGACTGAAAAGGTGCAACACAATAATTGTTTATGGTTCATTATGTATACTTAAAATATCTATATCTCTGTGTGTGTGTGTATATAAATATGATAGTATTTAAGTGTATATTGTTTAGTTTCGTCAAATGCTAAGGTATCTGGAAATTCTTGTTTTTATGATCATAAGAAAAGTACGAAGCTATAATACGTTGTCACAAACCATTTTTTTTACTGAGAACAACTAAATTCATGAGCAGACATAGATCATCTACTAGAACCATAAAAAGTATAGAGTGCATTATGTTAAAATGATTTTGAATATGAAATCAGAATGCCACGTGAAAACCACACCCACTATAAAATCGCGGTGGAAAGGCATGTTTCAGATCTAGATTTTGACATTCTGTGCTGGTTTGTAGGTAGTGTGATGCAACTGAAAATTTATCCCTTTTGAGAAGGGTTTGTAACAGTCCTTTACGATGCAAAATATTCATGCACTTAAATTAGAAAGACGTGTTCAGGTCGCGGATTTAGATTTCTCACGATGGAGATATTCCGTGGACGTAATGACATTAGGAAACATAGGAATGTTGGATCAATTTAGGGTATCAGAACAACCCAAAAAGAATCCTACAACAAGTAGTACCTCAGCCGTTGTAACCAAATTCTAGCATCTTGTAACAGGTAAGAATTTGCGATAATGCTCCGAGTGATAATAGTTCAAAACAGTAACAGCTCTGATGAAAATGAAGTCTCAAAAAATATAAAAACTAAAGCAAAATTAGCTTGTGTAGACAAATGAGGTCTTATAAAAGACAGTCTCTGGTTTAAAATTTGATTACGGGTGTTCTAGCTGATGATGTCAGAGCAGAACTACGAACAAAACTTTATGAACTGGTATCTAAGGAAAATACTCATATGTGTATTATATGAAGCTAAATTTTTGGCATAGGAAAACCTTTACCAAGTATTAAAACAATTTATAGAATAATAATTATAAAATATTAACACTCTATCAGTAACTCAAGTATAACCCCATTAACAAATCGGTCATACAAACGTAGTGAAAAAAATGGATGAAGATGAAAATTGTGAGTTAGTAGCTGATCTAATAACTGGAAAACTGAAAAACACTGATTAAATAATGAATAAAATCAGAATATGAATAATAATAAAAGTATTAGATTAAACGTTTGTATGTTGCTAGGAACTCTTAAAAAATATATGTATGTATATTTTTCTAAGTGTCCATGGTGCGGGTAAAAGCCCCGTAAACCACACTGTGTGGTTAGTTGTTTTCCTGTGTACTTAGTTGATCACTGCCTAACCCAAAGTAACTCGGCTTTTGAAATTACGTTAAAGAAAACAGTAACTGAATAACCATTCCAAATGATAATTCCTTAGCAAGGCGATATGGCTTTAAACTAAACACTTTAAACAGTTAAGGAGAGATATTTCCAGACTCACTGTGTATTCAAATCCAAAGCGTCAAGAAGGACCATTCCATGAAATCTACACACCTACAGGATTTAATGTCTAAGAATAATGGTGAGATGCAAGTAAGTATTAATATTAAACATATCTGGACCTGTTCCACTGCCTGATAAAGGTGTAAATAATTATGAATATTCAATAATGAATTCATTAAACACGGTCTGTCTGAACAATTAATATGGGATAATTAGGAAAAACTTATGAAATGTGGATGGCGTCATCCAGTATGACCATCTTGTTTGTCTTAATCAAAATTCAATCTAAATTCAGGTCTAACGTCATAACAACTAACGTTCTTGCAAGTTTAACTATTTTGTTATTGTTATATACTATCACTAGTGGGTTGGAATTACACCAGAATAAAGAACAAGGTTTATAATAGCATTAGGCTTCGTTTCCTACAAAATATAAACATTAAATTTCGTTCAGCTATCGAATCATTTGACAGTTTCAGTTATGTGAAAAATGAAGTTTAATTAAAAAAGGTTTACAAAAGTTGTTAATTTTACTGAACAGACATTCTTGATTGTATTGTTTAAGTAAAGCTTGCGAAAGTTTGTTTTAAACACTAATTTTGGTTGACCACAACAATATAATAAAACGTTCTCGTAAAAGCAACTTAAGTCATTCATATTAATATTCTTTTATTTCATTTGACGAGTTACAGTTTTTACAGTAAGGAAGAACATTTTAAACAGGTACGACGTTTCGAGCGCTAGCGTGATCGTTCTCAAGTACACAGGATTTAACGATAAGGAATTTTTTTTTATTTAAAGCAACATTTAGTAATATAAATTTAAATGCTGCAACTTGTAAAAGTGAAAAAAATCCATCTAATCAGTAAGTAAACTCAAATGAAATTATTCATTCATTAAGATGTTTCCGAACCTAAACTACTCATAAACAATCTTATCATTACCTGATGTTGTAGTCAAAATTATTCACTTCATATGTACTTGTTCCTAACAATGGTCCGCTTAATCAGTACCTATTTCTGTACCAAGTCTTGCATCATAAAATAACACAGAGAAAAAAATGTTAGAGTTTAACATTAGTAGTGTAAATAACAACTGCTATGTATTCTTATACAAGGCAGAAATACATATTTATTAATCGTTTCCTCCATTGGTTGAAATAAATTAAACAATTACAAACTTATTAGTTCAATTTTCTCTTTGTTCTCAATTACCTTTCAGAACATTCCAATTCAAAGCCATTCAGAAATGATGCTGACATCGATGCGCAGTTCTCTCCTAGAGAAAGACCTTCCATGTCACTTCCGGTGCTGTATACTCCTGGGAGAGTCAGAAGAGAATTGATATCCTCCGACCGAAACGTCTCCATATCGATTTCTGCCAAACTAGCATCCAGAGTTTTGGAAATATCATCGTAGTTTAAGCTATCCTGGTCAGGTGAGAGTGTGTTTACGTGTTGGTCCAGTATTAGGCTTAAGTTTAGTTCTCTGCTATAGCAGAAAAAAAGATTAATCAAATAAATTTTTGATTTCTTTCAACTTTATATAAAGTTCCCTGAGTTCTCTTATTCTTTATTCAAAGATTCGATAAACTTATCGGCTTGGATATAAATTAAGCGATAATTCTTGATGGAAAACGTTTATCAGTTTTCCTCTGATTTTCTTAGTTTTAGTGAAACTGATTATGTTGGTACATAATATTCTATTTTTTTTAGAAAAAAACTATATATATATATTTATATATACGTATACATATTTATCAATATACTTCATTCCTTTTTTATCTCTCTCATACAATTAACATATTTCCAAATATATTTTATCATACAATTCACACATGCTCAGTGTTCAAATTTATTTCACAAATAATCTATATTCATTTCCAAAAAAAGAATGTGCTGTGTTCTAAAAAGATATGATATCAATGTAAATAGCCCTCTGTAATCCTCAATCCGTACCAAAATATTTCTCTCAAGCATAAAAAGATAGTGTTGATATTCAACATGATAACCTCTTATATAATATTGGAATGAATTCGACTAATACACACTTGTTACATTCGTCATCCAGGCACCATTGATACCCTCCACTGTCTTGAAGAAAGGAACCATCGCTCTCGCTAGTCTCTTCTTTGTTTGGGTCATTAGGGAGAATACAGATTTGATTATGATTTGGTTGTGGTTCTTGTTGATCTTGCGGACTGGTTGTAGTTGTATTCTCCGTGACAGGAAGAATTTCTTCTAAAATGTTTAAGAAACAAATTTGCTAATGAATGATAAAGATAATATGCCCAGCTATACATAATTACATGGTTATAAACAGTCAGTCATTACTTCATGTTTGCCATTTTATGAAAGAATATATTTATAAGCAATGGACTTGCTAAAAAGTAGTTTTTATTTTTGCTTAGGTTGGTTTGTTTATTGTTAAGCACAAAGTTACACAATGGGCTATCGGTGCTGTGCTCACCACAAGTATCGAAACGCGGTTTGTAGCGAGGGTTATAAACCTTCAGATTTACTACTGTTCCTCATTTATTTCTCATGATGATTACAGTTATTTAAATGGGATTATTAGAAAACATAGTTTTCATAAGTAAATAACAAAATGCACAATTCAGTTGCACTCAAGCAAGCAAGTGTTTACAATGACATTCATAAATTGTATGTCATATATACAATTATAATATGAAACTATCTTCAAGAGACTAACTCTTGCTGTAAAAGTGGAGGTCAATGACCTCCTTTGATTTTTTTTATCTTTACGGTGGAAATGCTGTACCAAATTGTATGAAACTCAGTAAAACTTACTAAATCTTATCTAGTTTCGGCTTAAAAAATCATGTACGTTGATTTACTTTTTCTATCATTTTTATGTTGTGAAATTTTCAAAATTGTAAAACATTACATTGAAAAAAAAAAACAAACATTAATAATACTTCCTTTCGCCTTAGAATTTTTATTCCTGTTTATAAAGTTCTATTTTATATATCTAATCAGTTTCTACATTTATTGGAATATTTTCATACTATATTTTTCTGATTGCAGTAGTTACTACTTCCGGTTATAAATCGTGAAAAACAAGGTAGAAACCGTCAAAGATTTTTCGGTGAACTACTACCTGACCTGTCACAATGGAGTCAGGTTAGATTAGGTATTTGCTAACAATATTCTTGTTCGAGATCAATTCATTTTTAATAAGTATTGTTTATTTTCAATAAATAGTAAGTTATTTTATTAGCTACATTGTTTGATACGATGATATTCGATAAATAAGGATGAGAGTCACATTTGAGTTATTATAATATTTTGACGGTTCCTACGGTGCTTCTAAACTTAATTATGTTTACCTGTCATGTCATACAAGAATATTTCCGTAGCTTTCAAACAAATATAATCTAACCAAAACATTTCAGAAATGAATGTCTAAAGAAACTATACAGAATTTCCCTGATCTTTAGTTTCTTCTTACATATTATAAACTCCCCATTAGATTCCATTGATCTTTTTTTATGAGTTAGGTCTTGTCACTTTCTCACGAAACAATAAACTACTTCTAATATGTTCTGTCCAATGGTATTTAAAGCCTGTCTGTAGCTGTGAGGTCATAAAAGGGGATGACGAGAGCCTGTACTAATAAGTTTAACAAAATCTTCTAGCAAACACAAACATGCGTTTTATGATGGGCAGGAACATTCTAAAAACATCGATACGTACGATGTTTATAAACGAGACTCCTCCTGTACACAAAAGAATTATGTTAGACATCACAAAGGTGCTCACTGGTCGAGATAGGGTTGATGTTAAAATAGGAGATGCAGTAAATATATTACAAATGAGTCAAAAACAGATCCAGTGGATTCGCTTGTTATATCTATATTTGAATCGGGAGATATCAGTCATAAGTACTATACAAATATGTTTTTTGTTAATTTAGGGAATTATACTGAAATAATGTTTAATCATTGATAGTATTATTCTGTAAAATGTGTAAACACATAATGAAACTTTTATATCTCTGCAATATAATGTTTCTTACATATATTTCCAGTAAATTGGTGAGGCACTATAGTCAGCCTTGAGCATTGATACCAAAAGATACAGGTTAATATCATTATATGTGATTCACGGTGAAATTCCGACAATTGTACAAAGAAATGCTTCTCTTGAAGACTACGTGCTGGAAGAATATGTTACAGCTTTTTACATGGAAAGGATTTCTTTAGCAATACGATTAAAGACGTAAAGCCAAAGATTTAAGAAAGCAAATATTTTCTCTTTAGAATCACAGAATTCAATTAGAGAGCATTTATGACAGCAACAAATTCCGAAACAACAACCCAAGCCAATGGGAACAACATCTTAATTTGTAAAGTATAGACTAGGGTTACAAGAACTCTCCAACTCAGAAAGCCATTAAGATGAAGAGATATATATATTCTGGTACCATTAACAACTTAATTC